TAAGCCCCTAGAATAAGGAATTCAGCCCTTTTTTGCAATGGCCATGACTTTGGGATTTGGCAGTGAGATGGTGGTTTTTGAGAAGCCTTTCTTCTTGGTTGGTACAGAAAACACCAAGTGGATCCTATGGGAAGTTTTTTGCCCCTTGAAGTCAGATAAATAGCCAGGTGAAGGAAAGGCAGTGATTGATTCAAAGCCGGCATGAACCTGTTCAAAGTAAATCATCCATAATTGGAGCTGGTTGGTGGTTTGGAACATTTTTATTTTTCCATTCAGTTGGGAATAGCAACCCCAACTGACGAACTCATATTTTTCAGAGGGGTTGAAACCACCAACCAGTCATCCATAACTGGAGAATTGTCCATTGTTGTGTTGCTTCATTCCTCGTTGGACGCTGTTGGCCTGCACCACGTCCCAAACCTCGCTGAAGCAGCATTTTGTTCAAATCCAGCACGGTATAAATCACGAAGGCATTGCAGTCAAATAATGTCAAATATGCATGCCGTGAACATCCGTGAGTTGTTTGATTGCATAAATATTTTATCGTTGATTTCACCACACATGATGTGTTTCCTGATCTGGTTGCATGCTTAAAAATACATCACCGGCCAGCCTTCTAGATGGTAATTCATGGTACCCCTAAAAAACGAAGACTTCTCTATTTCCCAACAAAGCAGCGTTTTTGTTTTAAGAGTGTGCATATGTATGTATATATACATACACATAGAACTATATACATACGTACATTACATTACATTACATTACAGTACAGTACAGTACAGTACAGTACATTACATTATATACATACAGACCATCATACCTGTACTGTACCAGTGATTTGCAAAAAGAACTGGATGATGAAATCCCAGGACTTTCATCTTTCCACTCCCTTTCCAAAGGATGTGGTGGTCTCTGATCCGAACCAGATGTTGGTTTCAGGTGCTCATCCGAAGCATTTCAACCAAGGTTTGCGAGAAATACCAAGAGACACCGCAGGACTGCGTTTTTTCCCTGAAATCGCCAGCAAACATACCTGGATGACAAGATGTTGGGAGGATAGTACCAAAGCAAATTATAAATGATGATATTATTGGGAATAGCCTCAGTGGATGCATATTTGTTTCTCCACGGGTTTCTGTTCAGCCATTCATGTCCAGGCTTAGCGTCGCGGTTTCACCAATCAACACCAGCCCGTGGTGAACATCAAAATTGATAGTAATTGATATGATCCCCCAAATAGATCCAGGTAGGATGTCTATAATGGCGTACCGTATTTGGATAATTATGGTGAACATCAAAATATTGGATATTTATGCATCAAACGGCCATATCAGTGTACCGTTTTTTTTTTTTTTAAATAGGTGTTAACTGTTGTATTAGTATATATACCTCTGTTTTAATATGTCTTTTTGGTTAAAACCTATGAAATACCATTATGTAATATTGGTGTCCATCCCCAAAAATCATGTATTTCATAGGTTTAAATCCACTCCCATATTGCGATGATCCAGGAAATCAGATATAGAACTGGTGCACTGGTGGTGGTTTTCGACGTCCATACACCGATTTGATGCAGGAGCTTTTGTCAATGTATTTCTATGTTTGTATGAAAATTGATGGTCAACAAATAGGAGCAATTGTCAATTTATTTCTATGGCATCCAAAATGGTCAATCTTGGATAGCTACTTCAGCTGTGCCAAAAACCATGGATATGCAATTGCCCAACCAACTATTCTTACTCAGAGAAGATCATGAATAGTGTTCTGAATAGGTTGTTAGTTTGATGAGCCGATGAGCCATTACTACTATAGACTATAGTCGAGTGACTATAGTGACTATAGTGACTATAACTTTATAACTTTATAAGGGTACTAAACGAATCACGCACTGGTTAATACTTTATAGTACTTTAACAAAGTATTGGAAGATATAACAATTTATAAACTATAGATAGTATTATTATTAGGTATTATTATAACTTTATAAGGTATTACTTTATAACTTAAAAGGTATTATTATGATCATTATTAACCACTATTAACCATTATTAAAACTGGTAAAAAAAAACTAAAACTGGTGCATTTCACCTGATCTCAGGAGCCGACGGAGCCGGGTGCGAGGCTTAGATGGGCCGAAAGATTTCGAAACCACAGCCGCAAAGATCCATGGAATGTTTAATCGTTGGGAAGAGTTAATCATATATAATATGATGATTATAGTTATATAAGATTAATCTATGGATATTTATAAGAGTTAATATTGATAATGGATATATATATATATATTTAGTTATATCATGATTAATGGGTTTGGGAAGAGTTACCCTCTGGTGATTTAACGTAGCGAACTGGAAAATGACCCATAGAAATAGATGATTTTCACAGCGAACTAAACCTCCATTTATTTCAATGATTTTCCATGTCTATGTTTTAAATAACCAGAGGTATTCATATATCGGAATATTGATAATGGATAGTTATATAATGATGAATGGGTAAAACTAGTGTTTAATGGTGATTAATAGGACAATTAGTCATTAATGGGATGATGATCTAAGAATTATAGTGATTCATAGTGATACTAGTGGTTAATAATAATTAATGTGGGTAAAACAATGCCATCTGCACCATCCCCCAGTCATCAGCATTTTTATAGGTAGCATGTATGTTTACCATTCCCAAATGGGTGGTTTATCATTGTTTTACCCACATTAGTTCGAAGTACCCAGAATTCCAAGGGAACATCAGAAATTCCAGTCGTCAAGGCCTGGTAGGGACACCGGGGACGCCCATTACAAACCATTTGATGATCATGAATACACATGCTAAACATTTGGGTATGGGTCAATACCTATAGATACATTTTAGTGGGATGAACATCCATTTACCAGCTATTTTGGGGTTCACTAGGTACCAGGGTTTTGACCCATCCCCATTTGACTCGTTGGTGGTTTGGAACATGACTTTTATTTTCCCACATATTGGGAATAATAATCCCAACTGACGAACTCATATTTTTCAGAGGGGTTGAAACCACCAGCCAGTTGATATTGTAGCTATAAAAATACCCACATTTGATGATCATTTCACCATTGACATTGGATCAGCAGCGACAATTTGTGTGTAGCATGTCAACCAGCAAACATATTCATTGGGGAGATTCCTTTTGGTCTGATTCTATGATGAAAGCGTCCCAAGTTCCTACTGTTGGTTGATGCAAGGCCAGAAAATCCCACATTGTTCGAAATGATAGCAACTGCACATAAATGGTACAGTATACCAAACCAACCCATCTATTTTTCCTAGAACAGATCATTGTTGTTGTTGATGATAGTTCTGGTTGATGTCCAAGTGTTTCACACATTGACACATTTGGAACACCGAAAGGATTTTTGGTTGCAACTTCACAACCTGTTGACTTCATTTTCCAAACGAAACACATTGATACTTGCGGGAGACCTGAACTGCACGGCAGATGTCCGCTCAACAGCAGTGGGCTTGCCGACCTACCTTCATGATGCTGTCAGACAGTCCGGAACGCGACACTCTGACTCAGGACAGTGGCTTCAAATTTTGAAGCAATATGATCTTCAAGCATTGAACACATGGTCCGCACATTTGGGGGCTACCAGTCTGTCCAACAGCACAGGTTTGATTTTTTTCAAATTTAGCTGTCTCAGCCACCTCGTCCCAACAACCTTGGCCAGACCAAAAGGGAGACCAGGAAAGGAACATTCGAGAGCTGTGCGACGTGGATTAAGGAGACGGAGCAGCAGGTTTTCAGTTGTCACAAAAGCGGGATTGGAAAACCGCCAACCCCCAAACAACGATTAAACATACCATGATCAATCCTTAGCCACTATAATCCCATTGTGTTTAGTTCTTAACCGTCTTAACCATTTTATCACGATTAACAAAACGTATGGTTAACCATTACCAACATTTGAATTGGCATTTCCCGAGTTATAATCTTAACCATTATCAACCACTACTACTAACCGTTATCAACCACTATCTGATTAGTGGTTTGGAACATTTTTTCTCTTTTTCCATATATTGGGAATTTCATAATCCCAATTGACGAACTCATATTTTTCAGAGGGGTAGGCTCAACCACCAACCAGCTATTATTAACCAATATTATTGACCACTAACCCATTGAAATGGCACTATTGTTAATCCATTATTAATCCATTATAATCCATTAATAACCACTATTAACCATGATAATCCATTATAATCCCATGATAATCACTATATAACCATTATTAACCATTATTAACCATTATAATCCATTATTAATCTATTATACTCCATGATTAACCACTAACCCATGATATAAACCCACTGCTGTGCACTGTGGGATGGTCACCAGTCGGACCAGTCCGCCGTTTCCGAGGCGGCAGCCATGCGGCACACGCGGCGCAGGCGCGGCTCACTCGGCTCACTGCGGCCAAAATTCACCGCCAAAGATGGTACCATGGGAATGCCATGGGAAAGTCACGGGAATATAAAGATGTACCATCTTTGGTTAATAATGGAAGCAGAAAATGATGGTTAATAATGGTTAATAATGGTTAATAATGGGAGAATATATCTGATTGGTGGTTTGAACGATTTATGACTTTCCATTCAGTTGTGAATGTCATCGTCCCAACTGTCCCAACTGACGAAGTCATATTTTTCAGAGGGTTGGGCTCAACCACCAACCAGAGAATATCACGAATTGGAAAATCACGGTTTTAATATGTTTTAATAGGTAAAACATTATGTTTATCACATTTCTGTGGGCCATGTTCCATAGCTATATTAAATAACCAGATGGTATTGATGGGAGCAAATGGGGATTGATGAGGTATTCCTGTGAGGTAGAATGGGTAGAACACTTAAAAAAACTCACCGGTCAACTAGCGGATGTAGCCAATCAAAGCTAGCGGACGGCGGATGTTCGGTTTGCTGTTGAGTTGCTTATTTTTATGGGTCGTTTCCATTTTTTCTTCACATGAAATTGTTTATGTTTTTTAATAGTTACCTCTGGTAATTTAGCAAGGCTATTGAAAATTGCCATATTCAATGGTTCTATCATATAGTGATATATAAACGACAATTTTCCAAAGCTATTTTGACATAACCAGAGGGTAATATATTCCATATCTGTTTTGATTTCCATAGCCGGTTGATATTTACCTACTATTTAAACATGGTGACTTTCTAGTGGTGTTCAATGTTCAATACTCGTTTCGTCACCCTCCAAGCGATGTTCAATGGACGAGAAATGTTTTGATTACGGGTGAACCCCGAAATAGAACACTTGGAAACCTGCAATTATGAGTATAAATATGATCTATAACACATTGGATTTTATATTTTTTCCATATCATCTATATCGACATGGTGGTTTTCATTGGATGAATGGTAAACCATTGGGTTTGAGGGTACTCTACTTTTAGACAAACCCAATTTGAGTTTGTTATTCATGAAGCATTCAAGCCTGATGCCAGCTAGCACAGCCCCCTAAAAAATGGGGTGCTATTATTCCTAGATATGCTGTGAATAGATCCAGGATCCATTTATCATTTGAATTATCCCCATTTTGGCTGGTAAACTTTCACAGATATTTGTCAATCACCACTGTTGCTGGTTCAATTCATGTTTTTTGTTTGCTACCCTCTGGTAAACTAACACAACTATGGAAAATCACCATTTCTAATGGGTAAATCCACTATACATGTCTATTTTCAATAGCTATGTTAGTTTACCAGAGGGTAACCATTCTCATGATTCTTAGTTATATAAACACATTGAATCTCCATGTTTTCTTGGTTAAACTACCCGTGTCACCCGTGTTACCTTTCTTTTAGTCACCAGATCCCTCATGACTCTTGACTAAAACGACCATAAGTTACATGTTGATACATCTTTTGTTTGTCAAATCAACATATCAGATATTGCTGAATTATATATATATATATATGACAATATATATATGATATATATATATGATATATATATGATATATATATATATATATATATATATGTGATATATATATATATGGTCACCCCCCCATGACCCCATTGTCTGCTTCATACATCAAAAAACACTGGGAAAAACAGTGTTTTTATTACATACACTGCTTCAAAAATGCGACCCAAACATACTTAAAAAAGTAATTGATAAGACTTATAGGAAACCAAAAAAAACAAAACAAACAAAAAACATAGACCAACAGGAGAATCAAAAACAAACAAAAACAAAAAAACAAAAAAAACAAAAAAACAAAAAAAATAGACCAATAGGAGACCCCAAGATGAAAAGACAAGAGACAGATGAATGTGTTTTTTTTTTAATAGCTCACCGCCTCAGGATCGATGACGACAGCATGCCTGAGACAACGCCTAGCGTACATGGTCTCTGGCTACCGGGCGGACTGCCGGCGGAGAGCGATGGGCAGGAGCACCTTGGATCAAATCATTTCATCTGAAGCTACATGCTTTTATACTCTCTGCTGGACTGCAGATCAATGTCGACACAGACGTGGCGAGCCATGACTCGACCAACTGGTCTGTCAAGAAAGAACCTTTGTGGAAATTTGGTCATCTGCCAGCACTTCCCAAGAGAGTCATCGAGTTGGACCCACCATCACGTCTGAAGCGTCGAGCAACATAATCTTTGTCTTTGTCTGTGGCTGCTCCCTTTGTGCCAAATCCTGATCATGCTGAGCTAGGCCTACCTGCTGATGAGGAGGACGAAGCAAATCTTGAAGAGGCTTTGGAGCAGCTCATGGATGACATGGTTATGCCACCAGTTGGTAAGGCTCCTGGGGATATGTGAAGAGGTGTTCTTCTGAAGCGATGTGTGAAGCAGTACAAGCTGCTGTAGCTCCATCTTGTCATGGTAGCATATATTGAGCAGAGTGCTTTGCTTTGCGGTCTTGATGTAGTGATAGGGCACTATGTTTGTACCGTACTATGCAAGGCTGTGTGCAGTATTGCTTCTGCAGGTAGTGGAAAAGGCTTCAGCAGCAATTCTATTCGTGCACTTTGCTGTAGACGTCGTGTCCACTTACTTGCATCTTCTCTTTTAAATATGTTGTTGCTTTCTCCTAGTCTGCACATGCCTGACTTGCACTTGCACTTTGTCGGCCAAAGCGGTTCTCTTAATCCATAGCCATTCAGTTCAGCAGTTGTTCTTGTGGGGCTTCCTTGCCAGTGTCTGACCTGACTATGCCGAAGCACGTGGTGAAATATCGAGGTGCTGACACTTGGCCATCTCCCAAACGAGGCAAAGCTCGAGCGCATGTGAAGCGGCCAGCTGCCAAGACTACCGCCAAGAAGTTCAAGCCAGTACCCTATATGTGCGCCATGCAGGAGTTCAGAAAAAGTTCCACAAGGAGAGGATGCATTTTGGCGTGTTCATTTCAAGCTTACTCTCCTTGCGGTCCGAGGCATTGTTCCGGAAGCTCAGAGCGGATGGCATTCTTCCCAAGTGGAAGGACAGACGTGTCCTCACTGCGGCATTGGAAAGCTTGGAGGACTTCATTTTGTGAAAGGCCGACGATCTTGGGCGCACAAGCGCACAGTCCAGGGCTGCCGCAAGTACGTGCAGCCTCATGATTTCCACCCCATTTTCTTCTCTGGTTCTGGCCAAAGCCATACACCTCTGAAGAACCAGGCAGCTGTCCTATGCTGTGCTCTGGCAGGTGTACCAATCACGTCAGTCCCCATCATTTTGGAGATGAACCACAAACCTGCGGAACGCATCTTCAAAAACCTCGAGCTTGCCCGTGATCAGCACGTCCGGAAGAAGGAGAAAGCCATCAAGTTCGGAAGCAATCAGAAATGGGTTGATGTCGAGGCTGACGAGGTTGATGTGGGCAAGGAAGTGGAGATGGATCAGAAAAGGGCTCGCTGGGAGCAGTGGGGCGGCCTCGTGGAACGTGGACGTCCAGACACACTAGTGCTTTTCAGGCTTTCTCCCAAGACAACTGCCAGTCGATCACCTGGACCAGGTCCAATCACCAAGCGAGACTGGAAGCCTGTGGCCAAGAAGTTCCTTGAGGGAAGAGATGTCATTTTGCATACTGATGGAGCTAAGGCATACACAATGAAGATCAAAGGAGTACTCCATGACAATGTGGTGCACAAAAAGAAGAAGATGACAGTGAATGGCAAGCAGGTCTGGGTGAATCCAAAGTACACCAAAGTGTGGATGCACCAACTGCCAAATGGCAAGGCTTTGAAAGTCAAGGCTGGTACTCAGATCATTGACAGATTCTGGGGACACCTGCGTGCTTATTTGAAATATGCACCCAGGAAGGTGGGTTCCATTACCTTGGCCCGCAAAGTCCGAGCTGCCCAGTGGACATACTGGCACAGGACCCAGAATATGTGGTCAGCCACTGGGCACATGTTGAAAGAGCTGCGTGCTTGAGATTTTGGTGGCAGCTGCGTGCAAGAGGTGAAGAAAGCAGTCTCTTCAGAGTTATGGCATTGAAAAGTGACAAGGGTTCAAATTCCATGGGCCACTTCATGTGTCTGCTGGTCTGGCTGTTCTAGCAATATAGGCGTCTGACTGTCTACATTATCAACAATTCAGGAAAGGTCTACATTAAAACAAACTTTCAATGCCAACTGGGTTTGCATGGTCGTCTGCAGCATCCAATGCCCCACCCCTCAACATATTAACGACATATACAAATGTCATATACTGTATTGTGTTGCAAGTCGAGCCATTGAAAAACGGGGTCGTGGGGGGGGGGGTGAGCATATATATATATGATATATATATATACACATCAATAATAGATATACATACTATAATATACACAATATGTTCATTCTCACTTATCCTCATATTGTGGGGAATATCCCATGCCCCCAACATCCCCAGGCACCTGCACCACCCAGCAAGGGACCAAGAGATTTCGAGCGTGTCGGTGGGGATAGGAACCAATGGTTGTTGGCTTTAAGAATCTATAGAATCTTTAGATGTTTATTGGATTGAAAAAGTGTTTATCAATAAGTCCTATAGATTGTTCATTGGTGGTTATTGGGTTTAGGGAATCTATAGAGTAGCCAATAGATAGTAGTCATAGCTGATAGTCAAGTGTTTAACAATTATCCTTACTATTGACTAATCCCATCACCCTAATTAAACACCCCATACATGGTCCCAAGTATGTGGAAATTCCCTACTAAACCATGGTTTCTAAGGGGGTGTTTAATATTAGGGAAAGGGATTAACAACATGTTATAGTTATGGCAGAGTAATGATCATCCAACAGAAGTCAACCTAGGGATTGTGATTGCTCAGTCATGTGATGTCGCTCAGGACATACAGATGAAGATTGGAAAAGGCAACCTCTGTCGTTCTTTCAGCAGACCCATTTTCCACAATCGACGGCTTGCACTTTCCTTTTGATGGTATTGAATAACGTTAAACATCCTCCCTCAATGATGTTTTTGAAAAGAAAACAACAACTCTATTTTGATTTTCTCCAAGTGGTCACTATGTTTTATCCACATCAATTTTCGCATGTGATCAAACCTAGAATAGAATCTCCCAAGTTTCAGTTTTAAATTCATGTAGCTTCTATGTTCCACGAATTTCACGGGTTCAAATCCCAAACGTTTTGTGAAATCCGCGATTTTGTTCCAAAAACGTCCCAGTAATCCAGCATTGTTTTATTATAAAACATTTCTCTTTTTCAATCGGGTTTTGACAAGAAAATCCATGTCCACGTCCTCAGGTCGTGTGGCCGCTGGCGAGGCGTGGCCTTTCGAAGAAAACGAGTTGGGAAACCCAGTGATGGCGCCATTGGTTGTGTTGACCTCCGAAAAGATGGAGAAATGTTCAAGATTCTGATGATTTTAGTCGGATGTGATGTTTTTCTATTTGCCTATCACTCTTAGGGGTTGCTATATTCATATTGCCTATCATTTTTTGGTTTACATAACGATGGAAAGTAACCATCTATAAATCCGTTGGTGTCCATGAGACTAAGAAATTCCCTACACCACATGATGGTTACATTCCTGAACTCCTGATTTATACAAATGGATACAATTACAACATCCAACAACCCTGGAAAGAGAGGTAAAGATGCTGGTTTCATTGAACAAAGGAAACATCTACTGTCGAAGGTATTTTGTGTTGGGTATATTTGAAGGGGAACCCTTGATATAGTGAGAATTGCTGGGGGATCTCAGACCGCACATTCAATATCATTCAATGTTCCGTTTACATAGTTTTGTTCCCTCTAAACCTCACGTTCGCACCAAATAACACACCCAGGCAATCCCAGGCAATATCCCACAAAAATATTTTTCAGTGGGGTAGGATGGGGTAGGTATACCACCAACCAGATATTTCATATGATCTACTTGTCACCAGAGGATGACGAAAAAGTTGCTGGCTGTACGCAGCGATTTTGACTGAATCTTCCGCAGGGATTTCACCATGAATGGGGACTGAATTTGTTGGGTTCAATTTGTTTATCAAAAGCAAGCATTTCATCCTCTATCCACGGTATGTTGACATGTTTACTAGGACTTTATCCCAACTTATGGTGCTAGTAGTGCTTGGTGCCCATGGATGCCCATGGTTACACCTAGAGTTGTTCACCCAATTTTTGAACCCGGCTTTATCCACCATAGGTCAAACATCCACAGTTATCAAGGTTAAATCAGTTAACAATCCATTCGTTCAACATGTTTCATCGGTGAATTTCATCGAATTCCCATTAAGAACTTCGCCTTTTTCCCAGCGCTGAACTGCGCTGAGGGTGTCCATGAACTCCGAATCCTCGTCCTCATCGCAGGTCGATAGGACAGAGCTTCTAAGGGTGATCTAATGCCATTAATGAACGGTTGTTGTAGGTTAACTAACCGAATCATAATTGTAGGTTAATTGGTTTTCATAACGAACTAAGCGATAATATGGTTCCTAACAGAATTTATTACACAATAGATCTAATGGTGATTGTTAGTTGATTTTTCCGTCAATGGAATTATTAATTGTTTTAGTTAGGAATAATATAACTTGTATATAAGCATAATTAACTAATAATCAATTATTAACATCAATCATAGCTAATAGTGGAATAAATTGGAATATAATTGACATAATCAGCTAACAACTATATAGCGATGAATGGTGATTAATGGTGCTTAGTAGTGATTGTAATGGTCATCTCCCAATATTTCTGGAGCTTGGACCCAATAAGACTGCACTATGGGATATTTATAGCTGTTCATTGTTTGGTGATGTTGGTCCCAATTCTGGATGGGTGGGGATATAAATGACATATATTATTGGTAAAACGTATAATGGTGATATAATGCCATCTTATGGTGTATATATAATTATGATGAAATTGCAATCCAAAATTGGGATTGGTGAGGTTAACCATACAACTGAATATGTTGTTCACTATCAAATTGGTGATTAAGTAATTAAGCAATTATGAAGAGAATGGGTATAATAGGGTGGGATGTTAATGGGATATTCATGTGGGAATATAACTCACTGTCACGAACGATGGGAATTGGATTGTATACCCAACATGGCGCTTTAAATTTTCAGGGTGAAATGCTGCTTTCATTCAGAATATTTCAAACACATGCGGATTTTGTCATGAATTTGATCAACTCAAACGGTGTCAAACGTTGGAATTTTGGACTGCCATGGCCACTTGAGAAAGTCGGTCAATGGCATTCCCAGTGAATGGGGTAAGATAAATATCAGTAGTAATTGGGCAACCACCCCTTGACTCACCATTTTTCAAGACTGGAACAAAGAAACATAAATGTTTAGCCTCTGCTTCCAGACCCACCTTTCAGGGTTTCAGAGACCATGTTATTTGGCTGGGTTATAACGACTTCACTGCGACGTCCCGACATGAATTTTGTTTGGTACTGAAAGGGGGAGAAACTTAGAATAATTAGAATACCCTTACCGCAGGTTGGTGATTTTTTTGCACTTCATCCAGATGTTACAGATGTTTTTGATGTGGGGTTGGATTAAAATGTCATTTTCAGGCAGTGCAGACCAGTTTTGACCCATGACCGTGTAGGGAAACCGAAACTCATGATGCTGTGAAAAACAGCTTGATTCAATTCGGTGATTGGCACTGTTGGATGGTGAAGCATCCCCCATTGAAATCCGTTGGCCGGAAATTGAAATGGCACCCCACACGTTAGAAGGCGGTGCCCCCAAACGTCAAAAAATGTGATGCTTTATAAACCTCATATGATTTCATATCAACTTATTATTTCGAGATATATGTATTTTGAACCCACATGTTACAGTGGTAACGTTAAGTTTCTTTGTTTTGCACATTAATCTATAGATGTATTGAACATAGGCCCTAGTTGTACTACGGTGGATGGCTGCGAAACCCTGCACCAGTTGAAAACGAAGGTAAGCATCCCATAATTATTGATAGGGTTTCAACCATCCTTGCGGTGATGCAGGATTTCTTCCACAGCTGATGCAGGTTATAAACCCATTATATAACTGTATCATTAACTATAGATATATCACCTATAAACCATAGTTATTGGACAAACCAGGTAACCATACTTCTTGGAGTTGTTTGCACTAACTTCACGATCTATAAGTGGTTACACCTGTACTTAAATATTTGATCTTATTTGCACCAACTTCACCAACCATAGCTTAGTCCCCCATGTTACTTAACAACCTAGTTGTACCAGGCCGGAGACGACGCGCCGAAGATTGTGATTCCACCAGTGTCAGGCGGGGTTAAATCTTGTGGAAATATTGTGATACCGGGGTTTCATGGGGAAACGGTGGAACAGATATGAAAAGATGGGATATATCATGACTTTCCCATCTTTTCCCATGAGCAGATCGTGATTATGTATGATTATGTGATTTGGGGTTAAATCATGTGAATTAGGTCACTTGTCAATGAACACGCTCCAGAACGGTAGAAAGGGCTAGCCAGGGCCAGGGATGAATGATGTACTCAGTATGGCCTCCCAACCCCGCCAAAAGGGAACTTCGATACGTGCTTGAAGATATGTCTGCTGTGTAATTTGCCGAAATAATTGAAAGGATGAGGTGAGGTTACACCCAGATGCTTGCTGGTATACCGACCAGCAATTTTAGCAACTTTTACTTTGATTGATTGCAACCGTTTTTGGACAAGGATCGAAGCCAAGTCTGAGGTTTTTTCCTGTGATGATCCATATCCACGAGGGAAATCCCTTGAACAAATCTACCACGAGATATGGCTGTCGTTGATGTAGCACATAAATGTCCCAGAATTCTTGATTCAAGTGTTGTTTATATATCACTTATTTAAATTGGTTTACAAACCCAGTTAAAGATACATAATTGCATTTGCCATAATCGTTATTTAACTCTGTCAATGGCGATATCCACAATTCAGCCTAGTCAATCTACAATCTATTGTGATTAGTCAACCAGGTCTCATCTCTATTATCACTTAACCACAGTCCACCATTCATCCGCCAGTGAAATTCCATTTGCAAGGAGATGATTGGATGACCGCATTCCAACAACTTACTGGGATGGTATATAATGGTATGTAAAGAAATTCATATACCTTTTACATGCTGAAATTCATATCAGAAATTCATATCAGAAATTCATATACCCTCTGGCAATTTACCATAGCTATTGAAAATCACCATTTATAGTGGATTTTCCCATTGATAGCATGGTGGATCTTTCCATAGCTATGTGAGTCATAACCAGAGGGTAATCTCATCCTCCAATATCACATTCCCCCCATATGGTCTCAAATGTGTGGTTTCATTCCCTATTAAACCATGATAAACCATGGTTTCTGGGGTGTGTTTATAGTACTATTAATCCACCATTGGGGTTCAGCCTACCTTTTCTTGCAGATTTTCGGACCGGACCTTCACGTCACGCGGCCGATTTTCGGACCGAGGCATCTTCGATGCGGTGGAGACGAAAGGGCCGGAGAACAGTCCCAGCTCGCCAGGGGGCCCCGTTGGAAAACCTTTGGGAGAAACAGCACTGGGGGAAGCAGAAAATGATGGTTAATGATGGTTAATGATGGTTAATAATGGTTAATAATGGCTAATAATCACTGATTGGTGGTTTGGAACATTTTTGAATTTTCCATTCAGTTGGGAATTTCATCATCCCAACTGACGAACTCATATTTTTGAGGGGTATTCATAACCATTTACACAGACAAGAACTGGTTGGTGGTTTGGAACATGGCTTTTATGACTTTCCATATAATTATTGGGAACAATCATCCAATCTGACTACATAATATTTTTCAGGGGGGTAGGTCAACCACCAACCAGATATTGGTTCACCATAGCCATGGCTACTTTCATTTGATTGAACCAGTTGAGTCATCAGATGTGATTTTTCAGTGATTGAACCAGTCCTTCAGTGAGTTGACCAATGATTTTCCATGGTCAGCGCCAGTTGTGGGCCAAACATAGAGCAGCAATGTGCATATATGTGCATGTATTTATTTATATATATATATACACATATTCATATAATATATATATATATGTGATAATTATAATATATGAATATATAAGAGTCATGTATACGTATATTATGTGTATAGGGTACCCCCCAAGACCTACCCTTTTGCATTTGTTTATTGTTATTTGCGGTATTTCCAAGCAATTCTTGCCTTTGGAAACAGGACTGATTTCGTGCCTTGTTTTTTTCTATTTTTTTTTGGTTTAAGAAACTTGGATTCAATCTTAATCTGGTTGGTGGTTAGGAACATTTGGATTATTTTTCCATAATATATGGGATTATCATCCCAACTGACTTTCATGTTTTTCAGAGGGGTTGAAACCACCAACCAGTCATACTTGCAAGTGTGTGCTTTGCTTACTAAGCCAATTTGTAATTATGCAATATCTTGCTGAACCTACTGCTGCTACTCTTAAAGGATGTGGATATGCATTACAACCGAAACCTCGAGAAACCAAACAAACACATTTTTTTTTCGGAGAATGTTTGGTCTGAAGCTCATGTTTGTTTTTGTGTGGCTTTACCTCAGTTTTCTCTGTCTTTTGTTTAGTCTTGACATCTAAAAACCAAATGCTCAAGTGTTTGTGTGTGTTTTTCATTGCACAGACAAGAAGAAAGTAAAGCCTAAAAGCATCCAAAAGCATTGTTTGGTTATTATCAAGGAGTATATTACCTTATCTAATTAATGGATTGAATCATAACCATAGTAGGGAAACCTATCATCCATGATGGGATGGGATGATGGGGTATTTTTAATGGCTCAATTGGATGCGACCACAATAATATTCTGGTTGGTGGTTTGGAACATTGCTTTTATGACTTTCCATATATTGGGAATAATACTCCCAACTGACTTTCATATTTTTCAGAGGGGTTGAAACCACCAACCAGTATTGGATATAAATAGATATAAATGATAGAGAACCTAGAGCTATGATGCGTGATGCACATTTTAAGAATATATAAGAATATAATTTCAAAGGGCCTCCTTGGCCAAACAATCATAACAATTGCGCTTTGGAGTTGTCAACTTGTCAGGTACATTTTTGTTTGTTTCAAGTCCCATTTCATTTGTTGATTTAAGCGAAACTACTTGAACTAGGGCTGAAACTAGCTTCACTGTTGCTGCTTCACATCCCATATTCGTTGAGCAAAAGCCACGACGTTTGTATGTGAAACCTCAAATGGTGTTGATGAAATCCAAGAAGAATTTGCCGCTTAATCCACACAAATCATAACTTTACTGTAGAAAAACACCTATTCGTGTGGTAAAAAAAAAATGTTAAAATCCATTTGTGGTCACGTTTTCTCCACTGAAACCCCCCATGTTTCTGTCCTGTTCAAAATCGCACGCTTAGGCCCTCGGGGTCCTCTAGGCGCTCGCCGCCGCCAGATGACTTGATGCAGAGGCACAACTGGAAGTACCTGTGGGGTTAAGGTTAAGGCGTATATCATATATAATTGGGATTGTTTCGAATGGAACGATCGGATTTTACCATTTCTCATGGGGGTTGGGGTGTATATCATATGCACGCATGATTAAGCATGATGTACACCTTAACCCCACAGTTATGAATATTACATCATACTTCTCTGAGGTGAATTGTATGGATCGAGTGAATATCATATCAAATCAACTCACTAGTAGGTGAAAACCATATGTTTGATTATTTTGATTGCTAGTGGTAAATATAATGGTTTGTTGAGCTATAGATTTCTAGGTGTATTATAATTGAAATTGGTATGAGCAGATATGATTAACTGGTTGTATATTATTTGCAGATTATGTGTTAATTGGTTGATGTCGGGGCTTATAATCCAGTTGGTATAGTCCCCAACGATCTCCAGCTAACAGTAGTGGTAAACTAGGAATTATTTTTGGGAGGAATCCCATAAGAACATTTGATAATATATTGTTATTTGTACATATATATATATAAAATGGAATACAACGGAATATGTATGTACATATCTATCTCCGGTGCTTATGGGGAGCACAGAAGCTATGCCAGAAACAATATTAGTTGTGCATTTGATTCAACTGAAGTTAGCATGGAACATGAAAAATAATTTTCGGGTTGCTTTTAGCCTTGTGTTGACGGTCAGATTTTCCGCCTAAACATCCCTGTTCCGATGTTTTTTTTTAAATCAGTGTAAGAAGTTGTGCAGATAGCCCCTGACCTTTCCCACACCATGGGATTCCAATGATCTGAATGTCCCACTGCTGCTGGCGGGCTCGCCGCAGGTTTACCTCTTTGGCGGAGCCGAAGCCAGGCGGCGATGATATATCAAAGCAGTGGAAAGGGATCTTGACATATCTTGACCACTAGCTTAACCAATCTTAACCAGGTTATATTGGTTCTTTCTCCTCGTGACATCTCATGACTATATATTTTGGTTAGTGAGTTAGTGACTGGCCAATCAACAAGGTCAACACCACCAATAAGAACCATTACATGTTGTTTTCATAAGCAAGGCCTCAGTTTTTGGGAGGTTTCTTGTGGACGGGGTTGTTTAGCTGGTATGATCCCTCACAATAGTCCCAAGTAAACCATTCATCAACGAGTCATAACTTGCCAAAACTTCTAAAACTTCTGCAATTGGCTATTTGTTTCAAAAAATTGACACCATTTTTATTGACACCATTTTTTTTGTAAAAAATAAGTAAACAAAAAATACATGACTGTACCATTGGTTACCATTCCACAAAACATCTAAAAAAAATGTTGGATCCGACCGGTTTTTCGCGGTTGATTCGGTTGGCCATTCGGATTGTGTGAAAACATATGATTTTTGTTTAAATGAACCATATATTATAGTTATTATATATAGGGACTCTATTGTTTTCTATAGATATAGTGATTATATATTTTGTGAAAACAAATGAATACATATATATATATATATTATAGGGATGACACCTTGGAATGCCATTTTTGGACTTGGACTCTATTGTTGTTGCGTTTATGGGACAGTTGTTACACTATGTTACACTTATTTGGGGATATATCCTTTCAAAGGGTACACTATATGTTATTGTTGAGTGTAATCAAGATCGAAACTCTAACTGTTTGACTATATTTGGGTGGGTGTAAGAACTATATTTAATTAGCTATAGTATAGTTGTCACTGACTATAGTAGTAACACGTGACTATGGTATATAGCTTGTTACGCTTTTTACATTAACTTGGTTGAGTAGTGGATAGAAAGTGAAACAAACTACTATAGTCACTTGTAAACACGTCACATTCATTCGGATCGAACTATAGACTATTGTACTATATAGTCACTTGCAAACACTGTAACACCTTTCATCGGATCCATTCTTTTTAAAATTCCGGATGACGATACCTGGTTGGTGGTTTGGAACATGAATTTTATTTCCATTTCATATATGGGATGTCATCCTTCCCATTGACGAACTCCATCATTTTTCAAGATGGTCTTTTAACCACCAACCAGATCATCATTAATCATAATGAATCATCATGAATCAGCATTATTATGATCATTATTAAGCATTATGAACCATTGTTTAATCATGATACACCTATTATAGCCATTATTATGATCATTATTAACCATCATTAAGCCATGATTAGCCATTGTTAAGCCATGATTAGCCATCATTAAGCCATGATTAGCCATTGTTATGATCATTACAACAACCATTGCAGCATGGCCAACACCTCACCGGAAAGTCGTCCTAGGCGGAGACGCCCGGGCCGAAGCCGTGGGACATCGTTGGGACATCGTGGGATCTGGGAATTCCCTGGGAATTCCGATGGGTTTATGGTAGATATAACGAACCTGGAATAATGGGGGTTACTTCATGGAATGTCATCACCCCAACTGACGAAGTCCATGATTTTTCGAGATGGTTTCTTAACCAGCAACCAGTAGTTCATGGGGGTTGCTTCATGGTTTTTAAACCAACTGATCATGATTTATGGATGTTTATGGGGAATATCACTGAATCCTGAATATGGTTTAATGAGTTTTCATGAGTTTCGTTCGCTGCCTAGAGCATGCAAAGCCAAATGGTGATTGTCTCTGTCTCACAGTGGACATACATGGACTAATAGTAGTTACATCAAAATATACTGGGGATATGGGTTTGTCTGGAAATAAGGTACCTCAAATTCGAATGGTTTATTATCATGTTCCCGTTTCAAAGGACTATTCTTGGGTGACATTTTCAGACACACTGATATAATGGTATAAGTATATATATATATATATATTTCTATGTATATATATATATAATGGGATACAAGCTATCTTACCGGAAGAATGGCTAGCAAGGGGTATAACTATCCCAACATAGTTTTATTTCAGATCAGTGCTTTTTTTTAAACAATTTACGCAGGTAATAGGTGTATGAACCAACAACAATAGGGATATTTGTTGCAATATGTTGGTTGTGTTGATAATGCATCAATCAAGCAGCAACAGTAGGTATATCAACCCACAAGAGGCTATTGTACTATATTATAATGGGATAGTCAGTCACTGAATAGTGGAGATAATTCATGTATATATCCCAAATATATTCCCACTGGGGATGGTAAGCAGTAATTAATAGTCTCAACATAGGGCGAGGTGGCAATGAAACATATGAAACATGGCCCATGAAGGGAAATTGGGGAAAAATTAGGAAGCTGGATGAACGTAGAAAGCGGCAGATGGATGTTGATGCTGCTAGTAAACTATGTAAACTTACACTCTGGTAAACGTTTACATAGCAGAAAATCACCATTTTTAGTGGGTAAATGGTAAATCAAGTATTTCGACTGGGCCATTTAATCAATATCTATATTAGTTTACCGGAGGGTAAACTAACATAACTATGGAAAATCACCATGCTATCAATGGGTAAATCCACATAAATCCACTATTTCTATGGTCATGTTCAATAGCTATTTTGACATTACCAGAGGCTAAGTCGATTGCCCTTGTGAGTCGCCTGGTCGGATCCATCCCTTTGTGATCCCTGACAAAAACCAACAATTTTCCGAATCAAAAAGGCAGTTCTTTGATTGAATGAAAGACAAAAACTACCAATTTTGGACAAAAACCAGCAATTTTCTATATTGGTGGTTTTTCTTACTCATTGGCAGTTCATTTTTATATTTTTGGACAAAGCTCAATGAGTACGGAAAGGTGTATCAAAGATATACCGTTCTCACTATTGCCGGTGAAATATCCCCATGATTGCTGGTGAAATAGACCATCAGCCGCCATTTTGTCATGGTGAGCAAGCACCTAATTTCTGATCAAATTTCACCAGCAATCATGGCGATATTTCACCTGTGATAGCTATATAGATAGTTAGTTGCCGCTCCATGTTTGGCTCCGATCAAAAACTTCAGAACCTTGACCAAATCACTATCAACTCCCCTATTTGAAGACCATGTAAACCAATATTGCCCTTTTTTTTGCTGTTGAAATATCTCCATGATTGCTAACTGGCAAAAATGAACCCTATGTAATTAAGACAGTTACCTCACGTTGGTTGTATATATGACATGTCCCATGATATGGATGTGTATATACCCAAAATCCACTGGTTTATCATCATGTTCCCTATATATACTGTTTGGTGGTTTGGAACATGGCTTTTTTGACTTTCCATTCAGGTGGGAATAATACCAACTGACGAACTCATATTTTTCAGAGGGGTAGGTATACCACCAACCAGTATATATGAAAACATTATCTTATATGTACGTATATACATATATATATATATATATTACATTGTATGACATGTTTATCGGTGTCCCCATTTTGAAACACAACCATATCTCCATTGTTGTTGGTGATCCACCGTCATTTTATTCCCCCAGTCTCCTCAATGTGACCTGCAGCTCGTGCAGGCCAGGCTGGTTAACGGTGGCATAACCACGTGGCATAAGCCATATCTGATTGGTGGTTTGGAATCATGGAATTTTATTTTCCATTTCATATATGGGATGTCATCCCAACCCCATTGACGAACTCCATCATGTTTCAAGATGGTCTTTTAACCACCAACCAGATCATCATTAATCATAATGAATCATCATGAATCAGCATTATTATGATCATTATTAAGCATTATTAACCATTGTTTAATCATGATACACCTATTATAACCATTATTATGATCATTATTAACCATTATTAATCATTACTAACCATTATTAACCATTATTAACCATTGTTAGGATGTAAACCCTGAAAAACCAACAAGTTCCCATGATGTTTCCCATGAAGTTCCATGACTTCCATTCTTGATTCATTGCTCCATGTGTTGTCTGAGATCCATCCACTGTAGGCATTTTACCATAGATTCCATAGATCGAAGTCATATTAATCCAGTGTACCCATGGTATTAACACTATAAATCTGGATTCATTCATAGCCATATAAAAACATGGCTTAATGATGGTTAATGTTGCTTAATGATGGTTAATAATCATGGTTATATAACCATAATTGATATGAATGTTGCTTAATGCTCAATTATGTCTTATAACCATATTTGATATGAATGTTATTGTGTCCATAGTATTCCATATTAAAAAAATATAACTTATAACCACCATAAACCAACCATTTAAATATGTTCCATATTGTTCCATTACATCCTCAATAAAACAAATCCTCTTAAACCATATTAACATCCCATTAATTGAACCTCCGTCATGATCATTATATGCATATTGTATCCATATTTCTTGTCCATTTATATGGAGACGGATCGAAGGACTGCCAGAGATGGAAACTATCTTGGTGAGAAACTTCCATCTCTGCATGCTTCGTCCTCTCGTCCTCATGCCGAGCTTGAGATTTTGATTTTTTTTTTTCCGACAAAAACCAACCATATTCAACCATATTAACATCCCAACCACCATTACATCATATTACATCCACATGTTTCCCATGATCATGAAGCTGCAAATGTATAGTTTATTTCAGGCAATGAAGATGAACAAATCAACTGTTTCATACTGATGTTTTTTCCCATTTCAGGAACCACCACATATGCCCATTATGGAAAACCACCATGAAAAATGCCATCGGCATCTATGTTGTTCTTTTTTTTTCTATAAACGAACCTTGACCCCTTGACCGCCCTGACCCCATTTCACTGAGGTTGAGCCTCGCCAGGAGCTGCCTGCCTGGGCTCAGCCTCCGGATCGCCCGCCGCCACATGCGACACCCAATGGGCGGCAGGTGCCACTGGTTCGGGTTGGAATGAGGCACCAGCAAGGAATGTGTATTATTGATCATATAGATTTTTAAGAAAAACTGATGATTATTTATTGATTATTCTTAATTCTTTTTAATCTATTATCGATTGTTATTGATTATTATTGATTACTTTTAACTATTAGCGATTTTTATTGAGCTCGTTTGGCAATTGTTGTTCAAGGTAAAGTCTAAGTTTTTGTTCAACGATTGCTTCTATGTGCCTTGACCCACTTTTCTATACCCCAAAAATTCATCTAGAACATTGACATTTGTTTTTTTTTTACACTGAGCACCTAGATACTTTTGGAGGCTCATGAGAATCTAGTGGGTTGTATCAGGTTGTTTTAGGGATGCCAAGGTTTTGCCGTTTTAAAAGAGAAAATGGAACCCGTAAATGCAACCTGCACAGCTTTATAGATCACAGGTATTGTCACATCGTGCTGCTTGACTGGGGTTTGTCACTCACAGTGATTCACGCCGGTAATTACCCTCTGGTAAACATACAAAAAACTATGGAAAATCACCATTTTCAATGGGTAAATCCACTATATAGGGTTTAAGGGTTTAAGTCCCTCGTCCAATTAACCCTGGTGGGACCTGGCCCACCGGGGGGGCGAGGGGAACTAAATTCCAGGTTTTTTGCATCTTGCCCGCAATCCTCGGTGCGAACATCGTAGGCCATGACCTTGCGCTGGACTTAGCCCCTCAGATCAAAGATGTTGTTTTCAGACATGTCATCAGGGGATGTTGCCATGTAGCCAAAGACCGAAACTTCGATCCTAGCGACCGGGAAGCTGTAGTTTTGAGATGTGGAAAGGTCGCATCAAGAAACATCGAACAGGTGTGACTGGCAGGAAGTTTTCTTCCGTACGAGTGCTCACGGTGTTTCACAGGTGACTAGGTCAATTCGTGTTGTGATGTCTTGTGAGTTTGTTTTTGAACATGTCGACATGTAGTTTTCAACTTGCCTTGAGCTGTTCGATGATGAGTCCGGACCTCAATGTGAAAGCACTTCATTCTTTCAGTTTGCGTGTCGGCATGTCGAACCAAACTCAAACGGGCACAAGTAAACGTCAGCACAGAAACTTGTCACCTGAACTTCAGAGTTTCTCCAACAGTCAGACGTGACTTGGTCGTGGTGGTATCAGTTGAAATTGTTTGTCAGTTAACACTTTGTGTAAAATCAATTTCTGATGCAGTGTGCAGTCATGTCTGTGGAGTAGTGTTGACTCCCTCCAACGTAAATGCGTGGAGCCAAGAGTGCTGATTTTTTTGAGTCTTGCAGTATCCTTGAGAGTTCACTGCTGAATGCAGACGTGTGCATGAGACTTTTGAGACGTTGAGAGATAGGAGTGACAATCTCACATTCACTGCATGTGCTGCCATTTCAACTTGTGTTGTGGAATGCGACGCTGGGGCGCTTTTAAATCGTAGCTTTTGCAGTGACATCGCTATTTGGGATCAGAAGCAGCACTCATATGCATTGATTACAGCCACAAACGGCTTGTGCGGATTTTGGTCCATTGGGATCCTGGATCGAAGTATCATCGAGCATCTGTTGGCACAAAGAACCTTTGCATTCACAGGCGGGTGTTTTTTGTGCGATTTTCCCCTTGCGTCTTGACTAGGATTCACAATTGTTACAGAACGGATGAGAGCCGTATGGCAGAATTTTGCACATAAATTACATAAGCTGATTGGTGCTGCTGACCTTTGCGCATGAATCCTTGTTGAAATGGAGGTTGAAGGACTTGCCCAAGCTGCAGAACCAGTTGTGCTGCCAACGCTACTCGCCGGGATGCCAAGCTGAAGGGACCGTGGGTGGCAGCCAGGGTTTGCGTTTTTTTTTTTTCCTGTAGGCTCAAAAAAGCACCGAAATGCATAGCGCATATATGATATACAGCATTGTATCATATTGTATCACCGAATCACCATTTTCCTATGACCTCACACTTTCCATTACCCTCTGGTTATTGAACATAACTATGGAAAATCATCATCTTTATTGGGAATGTTCACTCTTAATGGTGATTTTCCATGGCTATGTCAAATTACCAGAGGTTATATCATGTACTTGTTATTCTGTTCTGTTATATCCAGATTTTCCATGATTTTCCCATGTTCTCAGCATTTTGAAAAATGCTATCCCATTTCCACCAACTGCATTTGATGAGGTGCCAGGAGACATGGTTAGGAAACCATTGTCTATCGCCGAGAAAAACGTTCGGAAAGCACGCAAAAAATTGCGTGAAGTGAAGAAACTGGAGGACAGGTTGTGGTCGGTCTCTAGCCCGGGAATCTGTTTCGGGGATAGGTAACCAACTGACCAACTGACCAACCACCATGGGGTTTGATGGAGATGTCATCAACAACGATGCGATAAATCCCAAGAATGAAAGGGTATGACTATGTCTGACTAATATACCCTTTGGTTATTTAACGTAGCTATTGAAGATGGTCCATTTATAGATGATTTACCAGTAGTACCGCACAAGGCGGTGGCGGAAGTTTCAAAAATAGGAAACCTATAGAAGAGATTGGCTGTTGTGAATCAGGGATGGCAGAGCGAATCCACTGATGGACCGAAAGGTGCTTGAGGTCACCTCTCTTTCTCTCTCTTTCTCTGACTATCTACCTACCTACCTGCCTATCTATCTTCTATGTATCTATCTATCGATCGATCTATCCCTCTCTCTCTTTCACCTAATTGCCTATCGATCTATCTATCTATCTATCTATCTCTCTCTCTCTCTCTTTCATCTGTCTATCTGTCTAGCTGTCTACCTGTCTGTCTATCTATCTGTCTATCTGTCTACCTGTCTATCTGTGGTGCAGTGTCATTCAGTGTAATGTAGTGTAGTGTAATGTAGTGTAGTGTAGTGGAGTGTAGTGGAATGTAGTGTAGTGTAATTCGTGTAGTGTAATTTCGTGTAGTTGTAGTGGCGGTAGTGGAGTGTAGTTGTGTAGCGTAGTGTAGTTGTGTTTAGTGTAGGGAGTGTAGTGTAGTGTTATAAGTAGTGAAAGTGTAGTGGATGTAGTGTAATGTAGTGTAGTGAGTGGAGTGGAGTGTAGGTAATGTAGTGTAGTGTCTTTAGTGAGTGGAGCGTAGTGGAGTGTAGTGGAGTGTATGTAGTGGAGTTGTGTAGTGTGTAGTGTAGTTGTAGTTGTCGTTGTAGTGTAGTGGAGTGTAGTGCAATGTAGTGAAGTGTAGTGGAAGTAGTGCAGTGTAGAGTAATGTAGTGTAGTGTAGGGTAGTGGAGTGTAGTGTAGTGTAATGTAGTGTAGTGTAGTGTAATGTAGTGTAGTGGAGTGTAGTGTGTAGTGTAGTTGTGTAGTTGTAGTTGTAGTGTAGTGGAGTGTAGTGTACATTTTGTGGAAAGTGTCGCGCCACAACGGCGTGCACTTTTCCAACATCCGTGTAGTGTAGTGAAGCGAAGCGACATCTAAACCTCCAAAAGTGGTCCGAGCATGGTGTGTTTTGTACATTTTGACTTGGAAATGTGCTTCGTCCGCCACAACGGCGTGCACTTTTTCAACATCTCAACTTCCAAAAGTGGTCCGATGCTGGTGTGTTTTGTACATTTTGACTTGGAAATGTGCTTCGCGCCACAACGGCGTGCACTTTTTCGACATCTCAACTTCCAAAAGTGTTCCGACGCTAGTGTGTTTTGTACATTTTGACTTGGAAATGTGCTTCGCGCCACAACGGCGTGCACTTTTTCGACATCTCAACTTCCAAAAGTGGTCCGAGACCGCCAGTTTTTAACACTGTTTATTTCCAAATGTGCTTCGCGCCACAACGGCATGCAACTTTTCATCTCTCATCTGGCCAGCTGGCTCCGCACCCGCCGCTTTAGCGAGCCTACTTTTCGACTCTCCGGAGCCACAAATCATTGGAAAAACACAGTGTTTCGCGACTTTCCTACCTTTTCGCGCATCTGCATCTTCTTTCTTCTGACTCTTTCTCTTCTACTCTTCTCTCTTCTAATCTTTCTCTTCTCTCTGCCTCTGCCCTACTCTGCTTTTCATCTGTCCATATTGTCGGAAGTTTGACTTCTAAACTTCCTTCGATGATGATTTAATACCCCCAAAAATTTCCACTCCATTATCAGGACCCCCGGGGGTCCGCCAAAACCATTTTTTTGGACGGCCTAAGTGCCTGCAAAGATATGCTCAATGCAGGTTCCTGATTTTAGAGAGGGGACCTTTTGTAATTGGCTGAAACTGTAGGTTCCTGATTTTGTAGAGGTTTTGTGGGTTTGTCAATATTCAAATATGCACATTATATTGATTTTGCAGGCTTCCCATTTTGTAGAGAAAAATGGTGGAACATGTGTTTTCGACTTGTTTGAGGGCATTCTTTATTCGAAGTAGCCATTCTGCTTACATGTGCGCTCATGCCAGGTTCCCCATTTTGTAGAGGCCAGCGGTTGTGAAAATCACAAAAGTGCACCAAAAAAAGGGGTTGGGTACCCTGATTTTGTAGAGAAGATGCCTTGCTACATTTGTGGCAGGTTCCTGATTTTGTAGAGGTCTGGCGCCCCAAAAGTCAGGTTTGGCTCTACAAAATGGGGACACCCAACCCCCCCCAGGTCATTTTTTGGGGGATCAGATTATATTGATTTTACAAAAATGGAGGAATTGCCTCTACAAAATGGATTTTTGTACATTTCAGGGTTTTCAGGTGAGACGGGGAGACCAAGGTTCTTTCACATCATCCCGGATGATGTGAAAGAACCTTGGTCTCCCCGTCTCACCTGAAAACCCTGGAATCATCCCTCTACAAAATGGACCTTTGTATTTTTGACGGTTTTCTTTCTTCCAAGTAGCAATTCTGCTTAAATGTTTGCTCATGCCAGGTTCCCCACTCTGTAGGGGCCAGTGTTTCTGAAAATCATAAGAGTGCACCAAAAAACAAGGGGTTGGGTGCCCTGATTTTGTAGAGAAAACCCCTAGATTTGTGGCAGGTTCCTCATTCTGTAGAGGTCCGTCAAGCCATTTTTTTGACAGCCTAAGTGCCTGCAAGGGTGTGCAAGGACAGGTTCCTGATTTTGTAGTGGGAGCATTTTGATGCATGTTGTAGATGGCTGAAACTGTAGGCTTCATTCTTTAGAGGTTTTGGGGTTTGTCAACATTCATGAGCATAAATATACGTATACAAATTATATTTATTTTACAAAATCTGGAAATGTGGAACAGGAATTGCCTCTACAAAATGGATTTTTGTACATTTCAGGGTTTTCAGGTGAGACGGGGAGACCAAGGTTCTTTCACATCATCCCTCTACAAAATGGACCTTTGTATTTTTGACGGTTTTCTTTCTTCCAAGTAGCAATTCTGCTTAAATGTTTGCCCATGCCAGGTTCCCCACTCTGTAGGGGCCAGTGTTTTGAGATGTGGAAAGGTCGCATCAAGAAACATCGAACAGGTGTCACTGGCAGGAAGTTTTCGTCCGTACGAGTGCTCACGGTGTTTCACAGGTGACTAGGTCAATTCGTGTTGTGATGTCTTGTGAGTTTGTTTTTGAACATGTCGACATGTAGTAGTTTTCAACTTGTCTTGAGCTGTTCGATGATGAGTCCGGACCTCAATGTGAAAGCACTTCATTCTTTCAGTTTGCGTGTCGGCATGTCGAACCAAACTCAAACGGGCACAAGTAAACGTCAGCACAGAAACTTGTCACCTGAACTTCAGAGTTTCTCCAACAGTCAGACGTGACTTGGTCGTGGTGGTATCAGTTGAAATTGTTTGCCAGTTAACACTTTGTGTAAAATCAATTTCTGATGCAGTGTGCAGTCATGTCTGTGGAGTAGTTTTGACTCCCTCCAACGTCAATGCGTGGAGCCAAGAGTGCTGATTTTTTTGAGTCTTGCAGTATCCTTGAGAGTTCACTGCTGAATGCAGACGTGTGCATGACTTTTGAGACTGGCCTTGAGAGATAAGTGACAATCTCACATTCACTGCATGTGCTGCCATTTCAACTTGTGTTGTGGAATGCGGCTGAATTGCAACGCTAGGGCATCCAACAGAGATTGCCGACCGCGGCAGTATGCCTCAGAGTTTGGAGCTTGCCAAGCGCCGGTTCCTCTGCGCGCAGGATGAGATAAAGACAGAAACCAGAGGGATTAAGATGGGATAAACATGGGATTCGCTTCTTCTCTTCTTCTCCTTCTTCTCTCCTTCTTTTTCTTCTCTTCTTCTCTTCTTCTCTTCTTTCTCTTCTTTCTCTTCTTTCTCTTCTTCTCTTCTTTCTCTTTTTTCTCTTCTTTCTCTTCTTCTCTTCTTCTCTTCTTTCTCTTCTTTCTCTTCTTTCTCTTCTTCTCTTCTTTCTCTTTTTTCTCTTCTTTCTCTTCTTCTCTTCTTCTCTTCTTTCTCTTCTTTCTCTTCTTTCTCTTCTTTCTCTTCTTTCTCTTGTTTCTCTTCTTTCTCTCCTTCTTCTTTTTTTTCTTCTTTCTCTTTTTCTCTTCTGTCTCTTCTGTCTCTTCTTTCTTTTCTTCCTCTTCTCTCTCTTCTTTCTCTTCTTTCTCTTCTTTCTCTTCTTTCTCTTCTTTCTCTTCTTCTCTTCTTCTCTTGTTCTCTTCTTCCCTTCTTCTCTTCTTCTCTTCTTCTCTTCTTCTCTTCTCCTCCTCTTCCTCTTCTTTCTCTTCTTTCTCTTCTTTATCTTCTTTCTCTGCTTTCTTTTCTTTCTCATCTTTCTCTTCTGTCTCTTCTTTCTTTTCTTCCTCTTCTCTCTCTTCTCTCTCTTCTTTCTCTTCTTTCTCTTCTTTCTCTTCTTCTCTTCTTTCTCTTCTTTCTCTTCTTTCTCTTCTTCTTTTTTTTCTCCTTTCTCTTTTTCTCTTCTTCTCTTCTTCTCTTCTTCCTCTTCTTTCTCTTCTTTCTCTTCTTCTCTTCTTCTCTTCTTCTCTTCTTCTCTTCTTCTCTTCTTCTCTTCTTCTCTTCTTCTCTTCTTCTCTTCTCCTCCTCTTCCTCTTCTTCCTCTTCTTTCTCTTCTTTATCTTCTTTCTCTGCTTTCTTTTCTTTCTCATCTTTCTCTTCTGTCTCTTCTTTCTTTTCTTCCTCTTCTCTCTCTTCTTTCTCTTCTTTCTCTTCTTTCTCTTCTTTCTCTTCTTTCTCTTATTTCTCTTCTTTCTCTTCTTTCTCTTTTTTTTCTTCTTTCTCTTCTTCTCTTTCTTCTGATTTTCTCTTCCTCTTGCTTCTTTGCTTTAACTTAATTCAGCCCCTCGCCCAAAAAAACCCGGTCGGACCTGGCCCACCGGGGGGGGGGAACTAAAATCCAGGTTAAGGATTAGGGTTGAAGGGTGTAGGGTTTGAGGGTTTAATAGCTATTTTGACATCACCAGAGGGTATGAGGATACGATCCAAAATTCAGCCATTCATGAGTTGATGGAGATACTCTTCAGCTGTGATGCGTTGCCAACGATTTGACAAGAAATCCTTCAGAAAGTGTTGCCAAAAATACTAGCAACAAATGCCGTTTTGAGGGTTAATGAATCACTTCTGGATGTTGTAGTGTTATAGATTACAGTATTCGCTATGTGACCGAGTCAATTATGGTAATACATTGTAATTGTTAAGCAAAAACACAATACATATCATATGAATACTACATAACCCAACCATATTCTTATAATATTCCATAATATTATTCCCATCATATTCCCGGAAAATCATCGGTTTTATTCCCATACCACCCTTTTTCAGATCTCACCTTGTGATTTTTGCTGTGGCGAGGATGCTGCGATTCCGTCCTGGGCCTTGCCACAAGACGGTGCCGGGTCGATGTCTGGGGCTGTCTGATGCTTTTGGTGAGAAAGAGCCGAAGAAAATATGAAGGTGTTGGATGGGATTTTATCATCTCTGGGGAATGTTTAAAAAAAAAGACTAAGAAATTCAGGACCTCAGGTCTGAATGTTGCTGTTCCCTGTTGATTGTTGATTGTGAGGTGGAGAAGTTCGGGCTGCTGACATCCCAATGACCGCGTCTTGCATCCCACCAAACAGACTTGCTTAACTGAGCATCAAACTTTGACCCATGATGGCATGATATGTACCCCCACTCTTCCAGTTACCTGTTTGATCGGTAACCAGTAACCGATCGCAAAGTCTTGCTTGCAAAATCACACTGGTAATTGCATGACTAGGGTTCCATAAACATCACTATATAGTTTGTCCTTCAACCCTGTCTTAAGTATCTTAATTATCAACATTATATACATCCCCCATTTTGAAGGGAACATTTCAAGACCCCCAGATAATCATTGTCATTGATCTCATTTCCCAGTGAACCAGATTGTGGTGTCCGGTGTCCTACAATGTTTTCCTTAAATCAATCACACATTTTTTTACCGGTTCAATCCTCATTCTTCCTGATAATTTCGTGAACATCACCCGACATGACGCGTAGAATTTTGCCATGAGTTCGTATCCTGCAGAGACAGTTCAATTTCCCACTCTGGATTCCTGGGGTGGCTGACAAGTTGGTTAATAACACCATATAATCTCCATTTACATCCATTCACCACATATATTTACGTACCATCAACCCGTCAAAACTAGCATATTGTCCATGGTGTTACCTCATCAAAGTGGGGGCCCACGTTTACATCTAAGTTGGTGCGTTTATAGCCCCAATTTCACCATGGTTTATGATAATTGGTCATTTTCAAGTTCGCAAACTCTTAGTCACTGAGGGTAAACCATCCCACATACTAACATAACTATGGTCGAAATAGTGAATTTTCCCATAAAAAAAAGTGATTTTCCATGTTTTTTTGGGCTCGTAAAAACCACCCATGGATCACCGTGGGACCGGGACGACGACCTGCGCGCAGCTCCTCCGGGCGATTGGGGGCGTCCATCTCCGAGCTACGCGAGCTACGGGAGGTCGATTTTTCGTGGTCGCCAGAGGGAAAAGGGTGACATCAATGGCTGATTGATGGGAACTATTGATATTCCAATCATGGCTGATTCTTCCCCAAAAATGGGATTATCATGGCTTAATGATGGTTAATGATATGGTTAATGATGGTTAATAATGGTTAATAATGGGATTTATAATGGGATTAATAATGGGATTACTGATTGGTGGTTTGGAACATGTTTTTTTCCATATATTGGGAATGTCATCATCCCAACTGACGAACTCATATTTTTCAGAGGGGTAGGTATACCACCAACTAGATGGGAATTTCAGGATCCTAAAATGGAGGTACTGTACCATGTTTTTGGCCATATTTTGTGGGGATACTCCCTGTAAGTTGTAGTTGTAATGTAGCGTAATTAGTGTATATAGTAATAGTGTAGTTGCAGTTGCAGTTGTACGTATTTGTGGTGTGGTGTAATCCTTTTCATGCATAAAGGTTTCAATCTTCAAATTGGCATGAGATGGGAGCTAAATAGGCATGACTGCCAGAGCAATTTGGTGGGCTTGGGGTGTTTTGGTTTACCAAAAAGAATCAGTCAAGACAAGAGACTTGTTTTTTTTAGAAAAATGCATATTGACAAGCAACATCATCAATGGACTGCTATGGTCAAAACCAAAAGGTGTGGCCACACGATTTTGTTTCCCAATTTGTCATCGGGAAGAACGGCTCTCCTCAGTGATTCCACCCGTGTGATCTCAATGCAGATGGACTTATGTGGAGGGATGGGAATGAGTTATCATAAGCCTGAAAAATAGACCTTATATAATATGGTAGGTACCTCCAATTTTGGATCCTGAAATGGCCGTTGACCAGCAAAGGGGATTTACTGACATATTCAAAGGTGATCATAGGTGATCTATCCTAAGTTGGTTAGTAACTCCAAGTATTCTAGATGCTTTGATGGATTGATCCACCAACTTCTACCTGGAAGGCGCCACCTTGTGGGTTTGATGCATGTTTGGTGGCAGTTTCATTTTTTGTCTGTGCACATATTGAACAACATGCATTTCTATTTCAGATTTGTAGATATGAAATCTGAACCCTGGCACGTAAAATTATCAAAGGTTCGGATTAGTTTGGCCGAAACTTGTGATGCGCACGCAATTGGGTAATGTAGGATTCAACATGCACCACAAACGATGCCCAATTGGAAGAACCACAAAAAGGGCCTATGAAAAAATAATCCGCATTGTAAGGGCATACACCATTATTGAAAAGATCCGTAGAGATAATACAATAATATGTCAATAAATGTTGTTCAATAACCTTGGGAATCATGGCACTCAGCAAGGCCAATATACAAATTGGGGCGGTTCAAAGATAATAATATGGTGAATTTCAACAAACCAAAAATTGTGATTTCGCATGTTTCAGAAGGAGAAAACATGTTTACCGACAAAACGTCAATATTTGTCAATATTCAAAATACGGAAACAGGATCTGAACCAAACCGGTAGTGGTTTGCCCGCTTACATGTGTGTTTTTAAGTTTAAATTTCAATAAACAGTGGGATTTGAACAGCGACCGTGAAACTTCAGATAACCTCAAAAATGGTTCTGTCGTTTCTATGTACCTGGAATTTTAAATGCCAATTTCTTCTCAAAGGACTTTCATTTTCTAGATTGAAACGAAACAAACAAATTGGTTGTGGTTCATTACATAAGTTCTCTAGTTCACCTGGGATCATGACGAGGATTAATGATCGTAATCATAACATATCATAATTGTATATACTTGTAGGATGGGTTGAAAAAAACTTTTAGAAACCACAAATTCTGGTTGATTTACCAATATCATGTGAACACGTGGGGAGGTTGTTTCTTGGGAGGAGTGTCGCCGCGGGAAAATTGTTCTTATAAAAACAATTATATATATATATATAAATAAATATATATATATATATATAAATAAATAAATATATATATATATATAAATATATATATATATATATATATATATGTTTGCCCCCTATAGAACTGGGTTACAGTAGTTTTATTACACGGATCATCCCTTCTCATTTATATAAAACTAGCCCCAGATGCTGCGTTTATTAAACCCTGGTTGATCACATTTGGGGGGCCACCCCTAAATGCTGCGTTTATTTTGTGCATGAAAATGGAACAGCGGTTGTGATATCAATACTTCATGGGACAACTATGCATTTACATCAGTTTCCCTCCTTTAATCACACATGGATAATAGAACATCCGGCATTGATGATTTTCATCATGTTTATATCATGTTTTCCCATTTAAACCTCCATTTGCAACGGATTTTCCATGATTTTCCTATATTTTCCCAGGATGTTCCCATAAAACCTCCATGGCTGGTGCCAGGATGGGTGGAGCACCCCCAGGCCCACCAGGCACTGTGGTGACGACATTGGATTTGGTCAATTGCCTGGTAAATATTCCATGATTCAACTGATTCCAAATTTCAATCATGAAACCAAAGAGATGAGTACCAGTCCAAATTAAAACCAACCAAAGAAGGTAGAAGAAAACACATATTTTTCCCATTTGTACATATTTGTAGGTACTCCTTCCAGTGGCAGGTGGATGTGTATAAAGGCACCCTCAGTGTTTCACACAGCTGCACGACTGGGACCAAATCCACGGCATGTTTCCAAGTCCACAACATTGTTGGATTGTCCTATCGATAAGTTCATATTCCCGTAGTTGCGGGTTAAAGTGTACAAGGCCTGACACCACATGCATAAGGGCGTTATGGATTTCAGGACGGAAACCATGCCCAAAAGCCTATATGTAGGTAATATGTGGTAACACGGTGAGTATTCCATGTGGGCAAGCTGGACTTGACATGGGAAGCTAGCCAATGGCCTAGGATGTCTTCTCATGGTGTTACAGAGCAAGATGAGCCACGTTCAAAACTATGTTGTTCATCTTTAATTGGGGAAAGGCAATAAGGATCTTGCGCAACACTCTTGGGCGCTCAAGCGTGCGTAACCTTTGGCATAAACTAGACAGGATGATTCGGTGATAGGACGTTTCGCATCATAAGCTGAAACTGTGGGCGCATAAGCTGTGGCATAAGTATTCCCTTATCCCACTCCACGGCTTAAACTGATTGAATCATGGGAAAAGACCATGGTAGAATCCATTTCATCTGTTCAAGCATCCCCAAACAAAACACCTTCTTTAAGAGACATATGGAACGCAACAACAAAAAAAACATGTTCAAGAGGAAAATCATCTATTTTTCTGGGAAAATCTGACATCTATAATTTGGACAGCCAACAATCCATTGTTCCAGAGCCTTTTTGTGGCTAAACCCATCGTCTTCCGGTCATCCCAACACGCTACGCCGTTTGCAAAACGGCAGGCTGGGGCGGCAAAGGCTGGGGATATCCTGGCTATCCGTGGGGCACTCAGTGGCGTTTATGATTCGACCCTGGGAATGGGATTTCCATACCACCTATATTTGTGGTGACTGGGGGATGGTGCAAATGACATTGTTTTAATGTCAGAGTAAAAAGTTTTTTCCCTGTGTGAAAGTTTCCGGTTCAACAGACAAGTTAGTCACCATCAAAATAGTTTACAGATGTATATAGGCATTATATAGGGAATTGCGTTTCCGTGCATTGGTGTAAAAGACCCACAATGTCGGCGAAGAAGGTTAACCATTCAGGCACGAATGTCGGAAAGTCATCATCTTGTGCCAGATTAGGCATGATTAGGCGGCTCGAATTCAACAAGGCAATGGAAAATCACAATGTGTAGCTGATTTTCTCATTAAAACCTCCAGATTGCAAGAGTATTTTCGAGCCACGTGATTACCTGAGGGTGGTTTTCCATCAATGGTGATTTTCCAGCGGGTTGGATTCCATCCCTGTTCCAAATAAATTTTGGATGATGAAGCCCGCAAACAAACCTGAAAATAGTGAGTCCTGTGGATTGTTCATTGCCATATTTTTGGACCAGAGGAGCACAATGGTACACATGTTTTCCATCTCCGCATCCACGTTGGAAAGCGATGGGAGTTACAATTTTTCATTCGATAGTGGAGCCAAGGAGCTACCAAGACTTTCAAAACCACATGATATTCTCCAGTAAACTAACATAGTTGTGGAAATGGCCCGTTTATAGATGACTTACTTCAAAACATGATGATTTTCCATAGTTTTGTTCGTTTTACCAGAGGGTATATCCTATCAAATAAATCTTCATCATCCAGCAATCAGCATCCAGCGATGAGCTCAGGGCTCTACCTGCACCGCAGGCCTGTCTGCATGGGAGGGGGGTCTTGCGCTGTGCTCTAGGCTATGATTAGATAGCCATGTTTGATACCAGTGCTAATCGTTAGAAGGCATATATATGGCATATCTATGGGATATACTTACAAGTGCTAATATATTGGTAAATGTGTTTTCTTCTCTCAATATATGTTAGACACCAAAGTTTCATCATGTTAGAACTATATCTTTATAAACATATACGTGTGTGTTTTTGTCCCTTCACTGGTTTAATGCCCAGCTGCTCTTCGTGGCAGGCCCAAAGATCGTGGGAGAGCCCAGTGATGTGGTGGTTTCCATAGTCATGGGGGTACCCCCATAGCTGGATGGATGGTTTATTTCATGGAAAATCCCAAAATAAATGGGATGATGATTTGGGGATAATCCCATTTTAGGAAACCTCCGTAATTAGTATAGTAGGATATTATGTTAATCTAAATTTTTATGGGATATGGATGAACATGGGATGGATAGTGGGATAATGATGGATGATTATGTAACAAACAATTCTTAGTTTGTCCTTTATCCGATGATGATGATGATGATGATGATGTTTACCATGACCCCCAAGGTTGGTTCCTGGGATGGTTTATTATCGACGTTGGGTAATCAACCATGGCAATGGGAAATTGCCCATGGCTATGGCTGATTTCCCATGCAACTTTCCATCATCCCGTTGGATTTCTACTGGAGGGTACCATTGATGTAGGATTTTCGCCAGGTTTGAGTGCCGGAGGGTAATGGATGAAGCACATCCCCGATGTTTTCAACGAATCGGCAGGACCCCCAAGGTGGGGTGAAAGAAATTCTGACCAGCACGAATCGGGTCATAGTTTTGATTTGACATCTTCTGTTCTCACTATCACCACTTCCAATATTGATATACAGGTAATTACAAGTACTCATTCAGGTATATAGCCATATACACCTCCTCATACCTGTATACTGAATACAGATTCAGTTCGGGAGACCAGCCTGTCCTCATAACTACAGTAGGCTTTCTACAAATGTTGTCACCACACAGCACAATATGCATGAAGTCGAAACAAGACAATATGAATGTGGTAGCACAAACAACAATCCCACAATGTTTATTTAAAATAATTATATATATATATACATAACATGTGGTAATTACCTTTGGGATACGTAACGTTTTGCTACGGAACATGTCCCTTAGATTCGATAGGTAAATCATCATTTCATCATCAATTTCTATGGCCCATGGCTTCCATAGCTATGTAACAAATAACCAGTGGCTAATCACTATCCTTGTTACTCAGTTATTCCATGAATCACCATGAATCACCATGAATCACGATTAATCCCTATCGTTGTTGGTTTAAACCAGCTTAATTTGTGCGGATTGTAAAAACAAATCCATTCCATTTAAACCACACACACATATATATAATATAATATATATATATATATTGGTTAATCAATCACTATGAAAATTATTAATCCCCATGTAAATTGCGGATGGTTTCACACCAGGTTCGTGATTTTCTGCTCTACTCTCCCAGGTGGGCTGACAGCATTGGTAGCGCTTGGGCTCAATGACCATGCCGCGGCTAAAAGACCTGCCGGACGTGCCATGGAATCTGGTCACTTGTAGCAACTTCCCCAATGATGGGAATGGGACTTATGGGAATGGGAATCATCTTTAAGCATTTAAGCATCAAGATATTTTTTTCGGTATTTCCAGTTTCAAACGGAAATCTAATGATGACAATCTATAGCAACTTGTCAAGATGATGTCATTTAAACATCAATGAATTTCCTGAAGGATTCTCATTTTTGCCATGACTTGGGCTGTCCCATACCCGCAGGTGCCAGTATTTTTGGTGCCGTTAGAAATCAGATGTCAGCAATATGCACGGGCAATTACCCTCTGGTAAACAAACATAGCTATTGAAAATGGTGATTTATAGTGGATATTCCCATTAAAACTGGTGATTTTCCATAGTTATGTTAGTTTACCAGAGGGTAAAAGCGATGTCAGATGTTTGTACACAAAAACATATCTGAGTTTTCATCGGAGAAACACGAAGAATTGCGGCACACCAATGTCATAAACCATCCCCCAGTCATGACCATTTTTATAGGTGGTATGGAAATCCCATTCCCAGTCATGGGTGGTTTATGACATGGTTTTACCACCATTAATCAATAGAATATCAATGGATCTTAACACAATGGATCGATAACCAAGGGAATATCACAATAATCAATGATCATGAACATCAATGTGGAATGTGTCATTCAATAAATCAATATCAATGTCACAATGAGATATCAATGATCATATAGTGTTTTTATATCACAATTCTATTGATATTAGTATGTATTGCACTTGTATAGTATAAATTATATATATATATAATAATATAATATACTATGATATTAATGATTCCCAGCCATGGGCAGTTTAATACACCATCCAGTCGGATGAAACCAATGTCGGATGTCGAATCGAATCGAACGATGGTCCATCCAGAGGATTGAACAGCCATCGAAAGATGTGGAGTTATAAGGATTTAGCCTCTGGTAATTTAACGTAGCTATTGAAAATGACCATTAATAGTTGATTTTCCCATCAAAAATGGTGATGTTCAATAGCTATGTTAAATTACCAGAGGGTACCCTCTGGTAAACGTTTACATAACTGTGGAAAATCACCATTTTTTAATGGGTAAATCAACTATTTCTATGGCAATGTTCAATAGCTATGTAACAAATTACCAGAGGGTAAGGAAAATCATCCCCAAATGGCCTTAACTCAAGTTAGTGAAATATTATAATTTACCCATGTACATATACTTACAGCTGATGTTTGATAATGATTTGTCATTATACACTGATATTATATATTGATTATTTAGCCATCTAAGCATATAAAATGATTATATCAAAAACACTCAAAAGCCAACGATGATCTAGTTTCTGGATTCAAACAAGTGAACCCATGGATCAACCGAGAAAGGGGATCATGATCTCTGCTCCAAAGTCGTGTCGCTTCTGATTGGAGTAAGATGACATGGAAATGGGCATGAAATCGGGCTATGCGACATTATGCGACATTGGGAAACGCCCAAGACAGGATATACACGACCCATGTGAGGCTTGAGACCTCGAAGTTTTGCTTGACCTTTTCATAGAGTATGGGTTTATCACTTCTCATAAAATTTGGTGAACCGCTTTCAACATGAACATTTGTCAATGTGTGGGAACATATATCATCATATATCCACTCCATTGTTGCCCAAGATTCAATGTCCAAGTCAAACGTGTGATTTTTGGGTTTCGCAAACTATCCGCATCCTTCAATTTGCACAGATCGCTTACACCAGTGTGCCATGGCGGTGGGTAACCCCGGCAAAGCGCGCTTGAACATTGGTCAGCGATTTCTGCAAACACCAGAGGCACAATGGAATCGGAATCACGTGGAACTAATGCGGGATGCGGGGTGTGTCTGAAAATGGGGGACATAAACTATATCAAATAATGTAATGTTTATGGGGAAAATATGGGAAAATGATATATATATACATATGTATGTAAATATAGCATTTTTGGGTCACCCTATTTTCAGACAAACCCATGTGACAACTCGGAACACTTCTCTTTGCAAGGCAAAGAAAGAAGAGCCATTAGGATGGTGGGATGAATTTAGTGCCTTTGCCTTTGAGGCGCTGATCAAAACATTTCCAACATGCATAGCTGTGAAAACAAAATCCAGAGCTGCACCATTTCGAAATTAACTTTTGTTCGGTTGATGTGATGTGTCCCATATGCTCTATGTATGGTATATGTATGGTATGTTTACCATTATTTACCTACATTTGTGCCATTTTTGGGGTAAATGTAGGTAAATATTCCAGCACCATAGAAAATTTGGGTGTGCCAGGGTCCAAACATGGATGATTTTCCGTATCATCGAACGTGGGGGACGTGGCTTCAGCCAGGGCAGGCTCTACCGGGCCGCCAAAGATGGCGACATCGAAGGCGCCGTGGAAAGAGTCGCGTTTTTTTTTTTCTCCAAAAATTCAACAAGCCATGGCCATTCGATGATTTGGGGATGATAATATGGGATAATCTATGATAGTCCCTGATTTTCAGACTAAGTCAGACTTATGTAGATGTGACTCTGATGGGGACATTTGAATATGGAGGTGGCATCCTTTTCCGACCTCAAAGAGTCACAAAGCTTTGCCATGCGTCCATTTTTTCGATGCTTCCACATGAGGTCCCAGGAAACCGAACAATTCGTGATGGCCCGGAACAAGACGTAGCCATAAAGTTCCTTCTTGAAGACATCTTCACTCCCACCTGATGGTGAATGTTTGATGTGTTCCTTTAGAATTTTTCATTTGTAGCAACCACCAAAAACGTATAGACATATATAGAGTCCAATTCAATAAGAAAGGATACATCACACACTTGTTTATTTTTTTGGGGTAAGTATAAGCAAAGCCCATCAAAGAGCCAATTGATGTTTCTGATACCTTTCCTCAGCTGTGCACGTTTCTGCAGGAGTTGCTGCCGCATGTGCTGAAGGTGCCAAGTTAGATGTCACTTGGCTGCTGGCGGCGAGACAGCATGGTCTGGTTCCATAGCGGCGATGGCATGCCATTTGATGCCATTTGATTGTTTTTTTCTCAGCACTTACTTGACACAGTAATGACAGTTAGTAGCGGGAATCCTTAGTTTACCTATTTTCAGGTTGGGGCTATTTTCAGCTAATTGACATAATGTGGATGTGTCACAGAAAATAGTTCGCTGAAATCTACTACATGTTTTGCCCCTGAGGAATAGGCTTCAAATATGATTCTACTCAAATAAAATGGCGATATCTCCTGCAAAGTTGCTAGCAGTTAGAAATTTGACATGGGCATGAAAGGCAGCAAAACATGAGGATGGGAAGCTCATTGATAGATAAAGACAACATCATGTGGTGACAAGACGTGATTTTGTCATAAGTCAGAAGCCATAAGTGTACATGACCAACAATCAAACCTGATTTTCGTTGCATCATGTGTAAGTTCTTGATCGGTTGGAGGCAACAAAAGCCTCAGCCATTTCGATCCATTTCAACGACATATATTTGACATCCCGTTTGATGTGTTCTTGTTCTTGAAGGCCTGTTTAACCTGTTTGTTTCTCCCATTTTACCAACAAATCATTGTGCTTATTTTTTTTAAAGTACACATATATTTATTAAGTGCGTCTCCCATTTTACCAATCATTGTCACACTTTTTTGATTTATGGATTATGGATTTAATGGGAACCATTTTCTATTTGTTTATTCAGTTGGGAATTTCATAATCCCAACTGACGAACTCCATCATTTTTCAGAGGGGTAGGTATACCACCAACTGGAACATATACAGAGCCCTCTGGTAAATTAACAGTTGGAGCCTGAAAATGTCAGAGGGATTATGGATTTAATGGGGAACCAAGAAGATTTTTTTTTCAGAAGGGGACACCCTGGGAGTGCGGCTTTTCACTGCATTTTGCAACATTCTGCAACCACTGCACATGTGCCATGGTTCTCTCACGGCTTTGCAACCATTGACAATTTCTGCTTGGTTTTTCTGCAATGGCTAAACAAAACCAAACTCCAAAAAAACAAAGAAAACAAGAAACCAAAAAACAATATGTTGTGTTCAAATGGTATTCAAACCAATAGCTGGATGATTTATAATGGAAAATCCCATAGAAAAATCTGGGGAATCCCATAATACGTTCTTTTTGATCACCGCTCCTTCGAGGTGCCGCATCCAGAGCCCTGCCGGCGGAGTTTTTCCGGAACGGAAGTTTTTGTGTGGTGCGTCCGGCGGACGCATCGAAAAAACGAGGCAAAAAGGAAGCTCATAGTGAAACAATGATGAATTACTGATGATTAATGATGAATTAGTGATGATTAATGATCATTAATGATGCATTAGTGATGAATTACTGATGATTAATGATGAATTAGTGATGATTAATGATCATTAATGATGCATTAGTGATGAATTAGTGATGATTAATGATGAATTAGTGATGAATTACTAATGATTAATGATGAATTAGTGATGAATTAATGATGATTAATGATGATTAATGATGAATTAGTGATGATTCATGATGATTAATGATGAATTAGTGATGATTAATGATGATTAATGATGGATTAATGATGAATTAGTGATGATTAATGATGATTAATGATGAATTAGTGATGATTAATGATGATTAATAGTGATGATGACTAATCACTATTAGGAACAAACTTTTAGATGATGAAAATAGTGATGAATTTGCTAGTGATTGGTGATGATGTTCATAGTTTCCATGAATCATTAGTAGTCAGTGTTTTTTCATTAATGATTAATGGATGAATGATTGATGGATGATAATTTTAGTTATTATTAATGATTCATGGATGATTAATGGATGATGAATGGATAAGTATTCATGATTATAGTATTGATATGTACTGATTGATGTTGTAAACATTAATGTAAACCAATAGTGAACCTACCTTTTGGGGACAGTTTATGGCAACATGAGGTAAGTGATTCGACCTTCCCAGCAGTCCACCCTTTGATCGGAGATCATGCCTTGTGTTGATGTCCTTATCATGAAGTTTGAGTTTTCTAAGATTGCTCACACGTTGGGTTTTGTTTTTTTTTAATCGAATTGGTGCCACCAATGATATCAGTGCTAGAAATCGGGGTACTCGTAGCAATTTTCGGCAATGCTGCCAGGGCATGAGAGATGTTTCTTTCTGAACCACGTGGTTGGCTTTGGTTTCTAGAACCATGAATGTGTCATAATATATACATATATATAATGTAATATGTAAAAAGTAATACATATATATATATATATTTGTACATGTGATATGTGCGCAATCCACATGTCACAAGCTGTTTGGTTCAGAATCAGTGTTTGCCTTGAATCTGAGCCAACAATTGGAAGCCAAATGCAGGGGGTAAATCTAAGTGGGTTTGCTTGAAAATTGTGGGACCTAGCGATTTTAGGCACCAGAGGGTGTTTGATGATGGTAACACGGGCTATCAAGATGGATCTGGGTAAACGAGACGGATGGGTGCTTATTTATAGTACAACTTCATCTTTCCCATGGTTATTATAAATCCCTATAAACCATTGGATGACTAGCCCCTATTAATGGTTATTAACCATGAGTATTGACCATAGCTCAGGGGTTTGTTGACCTATACACAACCCAAGCAGCCCACATACACGATATATACCGCCAAGATTGGCCATGAGACGATGAGTGGCCAGGCCACACTTCAGGTCTCTGGAAGGGTGCTTTCTTTAGCTACACACAGCGAGAGGCATAGGCAAAAGACCTCTGATATCCTCCAGTAAATCAACATAAATATATGGATAACCTGATATATAGATCATTTTCCTTGAAAAAAAAACATGTTCTTTCCATATTTGTGCTAATCGACTGGAGGGTATTCGTTCCTTCACCACCAGTTCTAAGTAAGCTTTGTTCCGGCTGGTTACACCATGTTAAATCCAGTTTCTTCGAGTATTAAATCATGTTATAATATAAATCCAATTATTCACCTTTTTTGGATGATTAAGTGACATCATATGGTTAGTTCATGTTGGTGAGGTATATCCCATATCTCCCCATTCTCCCTGGTTTTTTGCTCTAACCCGGCCGGTTGATCCCCATGGCTGCTGAGCCGTGCCCTCGCCAGGTTCGGGTCCCAACCTGTGGTCATGGCCACCCTCAACGGCCACACCGAGGCGGCTCTGCGGAGGGGGAAACTGATGGGAGAAAGTTTCTACATGGCCCTTTAAATACCAGTTATAAGTCAGTTGTCATTGGAAATTCCCCATTTATGGAATTCAAACCCCATAGAAATAACCATATTTATAATTACTTATTCATTTAAAGCTGGGAACTATTTGGCCTTAATTAACTGTACCAATCAGGGGAGATCAATCATGGTGATATCAATTGTCTAGAATGTCTAATGTTGTTCAGGTTTTCTTCTACATCATGTCATGTTTGACATATCACACCCAAATAATCTACAAAGTTGGTCGATGTTGTTTTTCGTAACTTGATATTTCTTTGTGTGTCAAACAATGGTGGATTTAGCCCTGATTTATGGCAAGCAATTGCAATTATCCTAGTAATGAGCTTCGAAACCTGAGTGATGGAATGGGGGTACAGTAAGCCCCATTTTATCAAAGTTGGGGGGTTGTCTAAAAATACCTGATTTAACCCCTGATTGACAGCAAATTGCTGGGGAATATCTGGAATATCTGGAAACATGTTCTGAACGAATGGCTGGAATGGGCCGAGATAGGAAAGGGAATATATAACTTAATAACTAACAAAGAATTATTGTGGGTTTCTCAAATAGTGTGCCCACTCAGACAAGTGTGTTTGTTTTTAATGGGTTCTAAGTTCTAAGGCTGAGATACCATGGTAGGGCTGACCTCGTTTTGGTAAGTTCTGGAATTTTCTTTTGCCATTTTGATGGTCTAGTTGCGACATATTGCGACATCTAACCAGCTTAAACTGACTCGCTTCTTTGCAGGAAAAAAAACAAATATCAATATATCCGGATATCCAACATTGACCATGATACTTTGGGCATCCGACCCATGTCCGTGTCTCCAAACTGGACGCTGATCCCCAGTGCGTCCACTACCTGCTGGAAGAGCGAGCGGACGTGGAGCAGCGCAACAAGTCCGGGGGCCCAGAAATGCACGGGTCATTATTCGCAGTTTGCAGAGCGATATTCTGGTTGATCCAATGGGATTTCTCAGGATTTCCCAGGGCATAAGTATCACCAAGTGAAGGGATATATTTCAATGCAAAAGGGATAAACCAGTGATATTTACTATAGGGAAGTGATATTTATCACCATCTTTACATTGGGGATAGTTCATTGGTTTGAAGATGGTGGTTACTTACGAAATGTGTCCCACACATCCAGCCACTGGTCGCAGTCGGGTTACCCTTTGGAATCAAACTACGGCTTTGCTGGATGGTTTTCTCCCTCAGTTCAATGTTTTCTCGATCAGAAACTGATTTTTTGGGGGTGGATTTCCAATTGTTTGAAGACACTTGCGGGTATCTCACTAGATAGTTTATTAAACCATTAAATAACCCATGATTACACATATTTAACCTTTATTAAACATCCTAATTGAACCAGTATTAACCATTATTGACCATGTTCCCATTAAAAAACATGACATCAAATTTCTTCATCCCATTTGATCTCATTGAATTCTTGAAGGTGGTTCACCATGACAATCCCATGATAATCCCATTGTAATCCCATTAATCAACATAGTTCGCTATGGATGGTCTTCCGATCTTCCCAGGTTCGGTTGGACACCGCTACTTGCAGCGTGCTCCAAAGGCGGACGTGTTCGACGTTTTCGACGTTTCCGAAGCGAAAGGAACGTTCGGGATTTAATGGGATTTATAGTTGATTTATAGCTGATTTAAGCTCGAGTTAGTCGTTGATGAACATAAAGTTGGTTAGGCTGTATCGGGGATATAAGTTAATATAAGTATAAGTATAGGTTTTTATGGGTTGATAAACCAACTTCTCAGTGGGAGACCTCACCTTGTAGAGTGGATTATGATCGTTGGGTTGGATTGTAACGACTATGGTGGAAATTCTGACCTATATTATCACCCATATCCACGCTATTAGTTTGTTTTAAACTACATTATATACATGTTCATTCATAATATAGTGGATTCAATTGAATTGTGGATTAATAGTACTATAAACACACCCCAGAAACCATGGTTTATCATGGTTTAATAGGGAATGAAACCACACATTTGAGACCATATGGGGGGAATGTGATATTGGAGGATGAGATTACCCTCTGGTAAACGTTTACATAACGGAAAATCACCATTTTCAATAGGTAAATCCACTAATATCCACTATTTCTATGGCCATTTTCAATGGCTATGTAAGAACCAGAGGGTATTTGAAGCCACCCAGCATGGCCATTTTCCCAGCAACGGTCACCAAGATCGATCGTCCCGGCCCGGTTGCACGGGAATTCACGACACGCCCCAGTGGCCCAGGCAATGTGATGATGTCGGGCTACCTCATCGCGCGCATGGCCGACGTCTCTGCCCAGGACTCGACGGGGCTGTGGTGATGGGCTGTGATGGGCGTGGAAAAGCATGGCTGTAGGGATATCCCCGTGGCCTAGCCATGGAGATTTATGGTAAAATAACTGGGAAAAGTCATCTACAAAAAGCAGCAAATGAGATGACAGAAGAAGACTACTATCGGCAAATCGCTTTCACTGACCATAGCTGGAGGCTCGAGTACAATAGTTGAGGGTGGTGGAAATTCCCCGGGCGCCAGTGTAGCAGATGTCTCTTGGCTATGAAGAATCCTTTGATCCGGGTCATGTGTTTGACCGGTGAAGGGTTGCTGTTGAAGGTATCTCCAAAGATGCTGGGCCGGGATGTTGCAAAGCTCATTTCTATGAAACTTTCCAAGGCAGGCGCAAAGCTCGCACTGCACCATGGCACTTCACCGCTAGTGCTCAAAACAACACCTTGCAGCAGCAAGGCATTGTGAAAACTGCACAGATATCCTGAACACTTCTCCGTCGTTTTGGCAGATAGGAAATCCCAGTGGTTGTAGTTTGAGAGTTTCATCAACATCCTGTGTTCGTTTCTCTTGACCGAATCTGGAACGATGATCTCCATTATGCCATTGACTCCGATTTTTGAGATTGAAACTCACTTTAGGACTTTATCATGACTTTATCTAAAAAATCCATGATTTGTTTGTGTCTTTTGGAAACAAAACCCATGTAAAAGTTCCTGGAAAATCAGCTGAAGTCCTCATGGTCCCTGGTTCGCGAGGACAAATTGGGACGCACGCCTCTGCACAATGCCGTGGCTGCGGGGTGTGATGAGTTGGCCAAAGGTCTATTGGAGGAGAAGGCATGGAGATCTAGCGAGATTTCTGGTGCTTCATGACTTCAGCATGACTTGAATGCTGGATTTCTGATGGTTGACTTGGGTGAAATAGATAGTTATATTCTGCTTGGTGGTTTGGAACATGTTTTTTACCGTATGTTCCATAAATCATAATACCTTCCCATTGACGAACTCATATTTTTAAGAGGGGTAGGTCAACCACCAACCAGTATTTCACGACACTATGGAATAAAACTGGCTAAATAGTGTCTAGTTTCTAGAAGGGGATACCTCCCATCGCTATTCCACAACTGGGAATATTTGCTTTGTCAATGACACAGGCTCGCTGTGAGGCAGCAGTAAGGAATGGGTTACCATGGCCATATCTTTAGATCAACCGATATATTTGATTCGATCACTGGTTTCATCCACCATTTAGGTAACCAATGCGAATATGGGTTACCATGACCATTTCATAGACCTGAATGGGTTACCATATGGGTTACCATTTCATAGAAGTCTGTTAGCTCAACTTCAAATGCTGATTTTGTTGCTCAAGAGTTTCCTTTTCCATTCCCACACCATGACAGTAATTGTATTCAACGAGTGCATCAAAAATATGGAGCGGCAAAAAATCCATGTGGGCACGTTTTGTTTTTTGTTTTTTTTAATTCAGGTCAAGCTATTGGTTTGCCATGGTCAGGCTATTGGTTTAGCCACGTTTTCGCGCCACGATGAAATCACCATTTCTCCGTTAGCAGAGTGAAACCATTTGGGCTTCGTCGCCAGGCGGATGTGAATGCCCGCACCAAGGTGGAGGGGACGGAGATATGGAGCTGGCTGAGCTGGTTTAATGATGGTTTAATGTGAGTAATGGCAGTATAATATAGATTAATATAGTATAATCTATAATATAAGTAATATAAGCTATTATAGTATAAGATAGTATAATATAGATTTATCTAGCCAAACTAAGATTCTATCCATTTGGTTCAACACCATTGTTTGTGGTTAAGTTACATGTAGTATTAGCCGCCAACTAATGGAGTATATATATATATATATAATGTGGTTTAACCAACCAGAACGGGTTTTGATTATGGGAGATGTGGATCAATGGGTTATATGGATATATTCAAGGTTGGCCATATGCGCCATAATCAAAACATGGTCTATGTTCCCATAAGAGGACATGGTCATCAATCCATTAACATCAACCATGAAAATCCCAATGGTAACTTGACCCAAACGCAGTTGCGCACAACACTGATGTAATGGGATTAATGGTGAGTTTGTTGGAGATTGGTTGGGATGATGGGAGATGTTAATGTGATATGGTCGGGATCTGAATGGGATATGAACCGGGATATTTAAACTGGTGGGCGTTTAGAGGCAGCTCTATGGGATGTAACAGCCCCCATCGAAAAGTTGGAAGTTTGGAAATTATGGTGGAAAGTGGGGAGAGACATCGAATCTCTTTCACGTCCTGGAAAAAAAACACAAATAAACAAGCAAAATATCTTTTTGAAGACACCAAAAATGCTGATGGGCTATATTTCAATACCAACAATAATTTTGGATATGTTTGGTTATTCAGTATTTTTCCTCAGTGAGTTGTTTGACCTCAATGTCGGTATGATGCTGTGATGCCACATGGCTATTTCTTTGTTGAGATTGACTGAGTCGCCGCTTCAGCAAAAACAGAAACCATATGGAAAATCGGGTCATTGAAGGGAATGACCGATGTTTTGGACGATTCAGACGTACAATACCTCGGAAAATCGCATGGAAATCGCTCCGCACTTTGGAGTTTTTCAGGGCCCAGCAATGTTTGGGTTGTGAGTACGGGGTGCCCCATAGGCGACTGCGGAACTGGGGGCGGCCATGTTGGCCACGAACAATGATGGAACATCTTCTGTCAATTTTACTAGACATTATATACCTCTAGGGCATAGAAGCAACAATTTGGGTACCAAAATAAGGTGATAGAATCGGAACAGTAACAGCTAGCCTCTTGGCGGTGGTGTGCCACCAGCCGTCCCCCTTTCCGTTGGTGACCGTTACCTGGGATTTCAACCAACATTGGTCCCAAAAAGATCATTGGCATCTCATTGGAGTAAACACGTTTGTGTTTAACCAGTTTATTATCAACAATCAACATTTATATCATTATATATATATATATTTAAACAAAAAACGTAAACTGATGTCTATCAGCCCATATTATAGGAAGGCCCCCCAAGTCATAAGGTTGATCTCCAACATGCCTTGCTGAATTCCCATGTTGGCTTCAACAATCGACCTATCGATTGGGGGCCCTGACTCTGTGTGATTAAAAGATTTTGTATTTCCCTGCCCTCTTCCAACTTATTGCTGATAAATACGTTTGTTTATGTAAAATCCTTGATCAATTCCCGTTTTTGTTGACGGTTAATTAATATTAAATTCAACCATATGTTTGATGTTTTTGGATAAACTGTGCTACATTCACCATGTTTGATATTAAAATGGCTTTTCCCTTCATAGTGAACACCGCAGTGAACACGAAGAATGGTTTGGTTATAACCCCGTTCAATCCCATTCTATCCCATAACCCCTATAAACACCCATTTTTGATGGTATAATCACCATAATTATTCCCTTGTTTTTGGTGGGTGATGTTTATGTTTATGGTGATTAATTACCATAATATTCACCATTAATATGTTTGTTTGGTGGATTATTCCCACTGTTGGTGGTACAATTACCATAATTATTCCCAGTGATTATAATTTTGGTGATTATACCATCAACAATGTGATTATATACCATCAACCCATGGTATAACCTGCCAGTTTTTTTCTCAGTTTCACCGTGCGTTTCACCCCTTGCTCCGCAGGATGGCAAAACGGTCCTGTCCATCGAACTGGGGCGACCGAAACGTCAAAGTAAGGCATTCAGAACTGCCATGTGGATGGATTGATCTGCGGGTTCTTTGAACACATAAAAACACCGTAGGAAATGGTGCTTTAATGAAGGTTTCATGGGTTTTTATGGGTTTTTATGGTGATTTAATAATGGGATTTATCTATGAAAAGGGGGAGATGTTCCATAACTATGTTAGTTACCAGAGGGTAATGATCCCTTCACTCTACTAAATATTCACACCGCCAAGAAAGAACATGAATTTTCGCTTTTGGGATTGACATGGACACATAGGTAGGACCATGTATGGGGCGTTTAATACTCATGGAATTACCTAAAAAATGGTTGGTTGAGGGAATTTTAGTAGAGTGTTTTATTGTGGGGGTATAACCCATAAATAGGGATACCGTACGGGATACCAATTCACCATTTGGATTCAAACCGTGAAAAATCTGGATTTCGCCAACGGATTTGACATGATTTACTGTAACCTGTTCAACCTGGGCATGGTTCATCACCAAACAGTGTAATCTAATTGTCATCAACAGGGATGTGTAGCATGATTTAGCCATTGAAATTGGATTTCACAAATCAAACATGGGATTCAACCACCAAAAAAAGTGGTTTCAACCCGCGAGACCAACAATGATTCAACCACCGAACATTGTGATTTAATCATATTTAATCATCAAAAGAGGTGTGTTAGCATGCTTTGGCCATTAAAGAAATTGGATTTCACCAGGCTAATACAGATTTAGTTCATGATTTAAGCATCAAAAGTATTTGGATTACAGTACCCAGTAAGATGTTTTGTCAGAATGGGCATAAAAAAACCTTAAATAAAATGCTGATTTCACCAACAATCACCAAATATCACCAAGGTGATTTCACCATTTATAATGGGTACCATTGGTCAACGGTTTCATCAGTACTTTGAGAAGAAGATGCTATGATATATATATATATATATGGGTCAATTGGGGAATTCTCTTCATTTTGTTTACGAGATTAACCAACGAACATTGGACAATGAACCCGTCAAGTAAAATTAGGAGCTTAAAACTGCTATAGCTGCTAAGAATGAAACATTAGGAACTTATAGTATAGCTACTGTATGTTTAACTGATGAGTTAAGCAGCAATGACACATATATTGACCATCTGTTGAGCCCCAAAGAGGCCGGGGATTCAACCGAGGGTTTCCCAATCGTTCACCTGATCAAGAAATCAGTAAATCTGTTGGACTCTTGTCGATGATGAAACCTGCGCTTGAAATTCTTGGGATGGGTGGTTGAACAGTTGAACCACCCACCAGTCAAAAACTTCGATTTGACCGCCGTTTTTGCGCACCAGCCCTGCAGGGTTTCCATGGCTGGCAGTTGCTAAGACATATTCCCCAGATCATGTAGTCAGTTCGTGGTTCAACTTGAAATTCGATGACAGACCCTCAAAAGTGGCCCCAATCCCCCAATTATTAAATTGTTGTTGATTTCCAACTACATATATTCTCACACATGTTTTCCCAACTTCTATAGTGGTCGCAGAGGGTTCCAGAACAGAATGTTTAAGGTGCTGGATGGGTGAACCAGCTGTTGAAGTCTCAACTTTCACTGTTTGACATTCAATTTTTGCTGGTTGAAAATCCAATCTTTGTTTTAAACATCACCTAAACATCAACATATCTTTATTGGCCCGTTGTCAATATCAGCACTATCAACCATTGTCAAACATTATAACCAATATTAACCATGATTAACCATGATTAACCTTGTAACCCATTTAATCACCGTTATATCACCATGATATCCCCACATTCCCCGGTTTTTTAAACTAACAGCGCCCCTGACGTCGGCCCGGCAGGAGCTTGAGAATCTGTTGACGGAGAAGATGGGTTTGCCGTTTCCCAAGGGATACGTGAAGGCCCGGGCGCTGGGGGCCATTCCAAAAGGATGGGAATTTTGCCAACTGGGCCCATTTGAAAATGGTGCATTTTGATGCATTTTGCCCCTCCGAAATGGTGAATGATCAACGAACTAACCAGCCATGATGATGATATTTCACAGATACAGCAACAAAAACTTGCACAAGCAGGTAGACGGTGTATGTTAAGGTGTTAGCTTGCAAGTTTGTAGCAAGATGTTTGGTCCAAAATTAAAACCCGAACCTACCTTTTGGGAAGGTGTTTTGGGCTCAAGATCAAAACTCGTACCCACCTTTTGGGTAGTTTTTTGGCTCAGGATAAAATCCTTGGGGCTCAAGCTGTGGAAACAAAGGCAGGTGTGGCACGTGAAAATATGAGCGTGTTTTGATGTTTTTTTTTGTGGCAGGCAAAGTCTTTAGTTTTGAAATTTAGAAGTTTTGTCCTCTCAAACTTGGATGGTCAAACATGGAAAACAATACCAATGGAATTACATTGTGTGACACCAAAAATCATTTGAACCAACTGATCTTTTGAAAAACAGGCGGTGATAATATACACATTTTTCTTCGGGTTAAAGTGATTTGGATTTTTTTCTAGTTTTGAAGGTATCAGTTTTCATGATTGAGAAGTACGAATGAAACAAGCAGATGTGTCGAGCCAAGTCATTTTTTGAACTCGAAAAATCTTGGATTTCAAAAACATTGGAACTTTTAAGTTTGGTTCAGTTTATCACAATTGAACATGTCATTTTGAGGTAAATTTCTGCAGCCAACCTTTTACTTGGTCGCGATTGAGGGGTTGGTTCGGCGAGCAATCCACCGTTCAAGCAGCATCGATTAACTTTCAACATCGGTTTGTGGACCTTTTTGTCAATGGGCAACAAACGACACGATCGTAAAAAATATCTAAAAAGATCAGTCAGGATGTGCTCGATCCTTCACTGTCCATGTGATTTTTTGTGTCGTGACTTCAACGGTGAATGCCTCGAAGATTCTCAGTTTGTTTGACATCCATTGTGCCAGAAAAAAAATCATGCCATGGATGTTCCAAAGCTGTGAAATCTGTGAAATCTGTGACCAAAAACCCCATGTATTTTAACCATGGATCGTACCAATGGGGGCCGCCATGGATCCCATGAAAAAAGCTGGATTCAACCGACCAGTGGGAGTCTGGCCATACTAATGGAATGTTTGATGGCGATTTAACCATATTTAACCAACAATAAGAGGGATAGAATGGGATATCATGGCGAGATTCACCAACAAAGGGGGATTCCATCATATTTCCGAATGCCCAATGAGTGTGAATGTGATGATGATATGATGGGACTACAGACAGAAGAATTCACATGGAACCAAAACATAGTGATATCCAATAGCAAAATGATTTCGCAAAGACCATGTTTAGTTGGCGTCGGCGTGTCAATGATTTTTCGTTTTGCGGAATGATTATGTTATCGGGGATTGCACAATTTCAAATTCGCATCAATTCAGCAGTAAATCTGTCTGCAAAGGGAGGGACCCAACAACAATGAGGATATCTTCCAACAATGATGTGGTGTGTTGACAAGGGGAAATTACCCAACAAAAGGGATTTATTGGGGATAGTGGATACATATAGTTGTACACAAATTATTAGATGGTCATGTTGATGATACCATGTATTACCCTATGGTAACATGTTAATTATTAATTATACCAGTATTATTATCCTAGATGGCATAGTTCATAATACAATACCACTATTATTATTCTATGACAAGATAATAATTATTAACTATCCTAATACATTTATCCATGGTATACATTATTATTATCCTATGATACCACTATTAACTACTAGATGTATTAGCTTTTGGACATTATATGACTTTGCCATGAACATGTTTGCCTCTGGTGCTCACCTTCTCCCAATGAAAATCCATGGCATATAATGATATGTTATCCATGTAAATAATATGTTGACTTCAGGCACGTGTATAGTATTTTGATGGATATCATGAATGTCTAACTATGATATACAAGTATCATATGAATATAACTATGAATGATATACTATATATATACATCATAGGTATACCATGTTATACATAATGATTATGTTATTGATGAATGTAACTTTCAACATGACCAGTAAACCTGTCGAAGTGGAGATGCCCAACAAGAATGACGACGTTTGCCAACAAGCCAACAAAAATTGAACAATGGGAATTTACCCAACAAAGGGAATGATGATTGAAGATCCAAGAAATTTCTTGGCTCAGCACACCACACATCCAAGACTTGGCCATGAAAAATGGTGGACTTTTCAGCCCAAACACAGTGAAAAATCATGTTTATATGTTGACGAAGCGGGAGCAAACTTTGATATCCCAACATTTTTTGATTGACTTCAACTTTCGTCTCTGTCCAATTTATCAAGGCCATCTACCAGGTGACGGATAGTGAGGAAACTTGCTGTTTTTTGTGGCCAACAAGTTGGAGATAGTGGGCCTATTCCCTCCGATAAGCAGTGGATGGTAAATGCCATATTGGATGTTATGCACATGTTTTAGTTTCATTGATATTCCAACATGATTTATTACATCCACCTTATCACATTCTTGTTGCTTCCAGCCCCAAAAAATGACGTTCGCTTAGTTCTGGCGTTTTGTTTGTTACTGTCAATGTGCCTCTTTTGGAATGCTTGATACTGCTGACTGTTCCCCAAATGATCACTGCAGAAAATCTGAATTTTGTATGTTCGAAGTGTCAGTCGGTATAGATCGGTATATAGTATGATTTCATCTGGTTGGTGGTTTCAAAAATGTTTTATTTTCCATTTCATATATGGGATGTCATCCTTCCCATTGACGAACTCATATTTTTCAGAGGGGTAGGCCAACCACCAACCAGTTATTAAACATGATCAGCCACGATCAACCATTATTAACCACTATTAACCACTATCTGGGGATGGGTCAAAACCTTGTACCCCTGGTGAACATCAAAATAGCTGGTAAATCGATGTTCATTCCCCTAAAAATGGTATTAATAGGTATTGATCCATACCCATCTCCCCAAATTCTCGGCCAGAACATGCTGCAAGATCTGCCGCCCTCCTTCGCGTCGCCTCGGCAAGATCCGGCGCAAGCGTCGTGGTTCGTCATGGAAACCAGGGGTTGTTTAAGGGAAAACCAACAGTTTGCTATGGAAAATGGATGAAAATGGCCCATAGAAATAGATGGTTTACCGGTTTAGCTATTAAACATGGTGATTTTCTAGTTCGCTATAGTGAATATGTTTTATTTTTGGTGATGTTTTAGTCGGTGATGTTTTTTTTTGTGAATATTTTTGGTGCATATATCCTGGGTTTGTTTAGTCGGTGATGTGGCTTATTTTCCCAATGGAAAATTTCATTATTGGGGAATCTATAGAGAATATGTTTCTATTTTTGGGGAAGCCATCACGCAAGTATATCCTGGTGATATTGATATGGCTATAAGGCTATAATGGTATATTTATATCATTTATATACCTGGAGATGATATGTATTACAAGATGATAAGATGGGACATATAGTGAATGGGATAAATTTGGGGATTAGGGATTTGTTGGGATACTTGGATATAACTGGAGATATAATCGGGGATAATTGAGAATGCGGAATAGGCTCCAGCCACTTGCTGTCGACTTTCCAACGAAAAACAACTCCTACGATCCCACTGGACATCACGGCAGAACGCCTCTGTCATCCTTGGCCATCACGTCAGGCCTTGGCCCTTGGCACAGTGAACACCTGAGGCCTTGGCACACGCAGAACACCCAGGTGACCTGTGACATTTCAGGGATAGTCGATGCCGCCGTCCTAGCCAGCGCTGGAAACGATCTGAGCGTGACCTGGCTTTTGACATTCCAACGATTTGGCTGACATACCCTCTGGTTATTTAACATAGCCATGGAAAATCACCATGCTATTAATAGGTAAACCATCTATAAATGGGCCATTTTCTCTGGCTATGTTAAATAACCAGAGGGTAAATCATATTACTATATATTGTTTGGATGAAGTATAATGACTTCATGTTGCGACGTAGCTGGAATGACGGTCAGGATTGGGGAAACTATCCACAAATATGGGTAGACCCGTGTTTTATATAAAATATAGAACCCAATGGTTCAACAATGTGTGCTGCCTAAACATGATTCAACCGATTTAGGCATTCGCAGCATTATTGTGCGAGCCATATATATACACTGGTTGGTGGTTTGGAACATGACTTTTATGTTTCCATTCAGTTGGGAATGTCATCATCCCAACTGATGAACTCCATGATTTTTCAGAGGTGTAGGTCAACCACCAACCAGTACATTATTTATACACATATATATATATATGGTACTTGAAACGGGGCTATGAACCATTAACTGAGATGCACATCCATGCAAGGTGGTGCCCCGCAGTTATGTTGCCTTATGTCCATCCTTTTTTAAGTGATATGTCTATGATAAACCCAACAGTTAGATCGGTTAGTGAACCAAACCAACTCAACTAACACAATACCAACTACAGTTATGGCCCTATATAGCAGTTATAAGTACTTAGAACATCTTATAACATCTTATAACCCCATTTACAGAATGTATAATCCCATAGAAATAACCAGTTATAGCGCAACTTAATGGCCATAACTGTACCCCTCCCATAATCAAACACCGTTGGAAACGTTGGAACATCCACCGAACTCAATGGATTTTCCCCATGACGAGCTCCATTGAGTTCGGAAAAGTTTCCAGCCACGTTGATGACCGGAAGGTCTTAACGTATCAAATCACCATATACATGGTTAATCACCATATAAATCACCATATAAACCATAATTCATTAACAAGTAAATCGCTAAATCACCATAGTAAATCACTATGATTAACTTATTTAACATCAAATCACCATATCAATCACTATATAAATCACCATGTTTTTTGGTACTTCACGGCATTTTTTACATGGCAAATTCCAACAACAAATCGCCAGGTTGCTGTTCCCGGGCCAGGGCTCCCAACGGCTTGGGATGCTGGGCTGGGCCGAAGGCGTGACACGGGGTGTGAAGTGGTGGGTTTCACCGATGGTGAAAAATGCCGGAAAAAATGGGGTTTTCACAGGGATTTTTTTTGAGTTTGTTTTTTTGGAATGTAATGAGATATGTTTATTATATATATATAATTATATATATATACACGCATTATTATTATTGTTGTTATTATTATTATTATGTACATTAATACATTATATTAATCTGGTTGGTGGTTTGGACCATTCTTTTATTTTCCACAATTAGTATGGGATGTCATCCCAACCCCATTGACAAAACCACCAGAGGAGGATTGGATTTTGAGGGATGGTTGCCATCATGGGACCTGGCTGGGCTTGGGCCAGGGCGGGGATATCATGGGAAGATGTGTGGCTTGGTGTTCAACAAATATTAAATCATGGTTAATCTATGATGGTTAATGATGGTTAATGGTGGTTAATGATGGTTGATAATAGTTGATATATGGGAGAACATATCTGTTTGGTGCTTTGGAACCATGGAATTTTATGACTGTCCCATTTTCGTTGGGATGATGATCCAATCTGACGAACTCCATCATTTTTCAGAGGGGTAGCTCAACCACCAACCAGATAAAGAACGGGATTAAATCAGGAAATGACCAAAAACTGTGGATATTATGGTGGTAACCCAAGAACGATGGCTTAAGAATGCTAGTTGACCAAGAAGATGTGGTTTGGCACTCAAATGGGTTAACTCTCAAGTGGGTTACCACTCAAGTAGGTTATACTTTTACCAGCCAAGAAATGTGGACTTAAGCAACCAAAGCCTTGGTTTTATCAACCAACATGGGGTTATAGTGAGGGATACAAGCCACAATTGATATCAATTGATGTTATGTCATATATGATCATATATGGTATGTAAGGAGACGCAGCTATATGATACTTGAGTGTGTCTGAGCATTTTGGTATATCACCAATTTACGGCATTGCAGCAGGGACGATTCTGATTGACCAGTGGATTTTTATAGGTCCTAATCCCATTTTCAGACGTACACAACTTACCTTCCTTTGTGGTTAATCAATAAAAGATGAGACTTGCTGTGTTGCTATGTTGCTATGCCAGCTAACATTTGGATGCTATTTTTCTTGGATAACATGGGAATGTGGCAATAGGATATTAGCTGTTGCCATCGTTTGCTTGGGATAAGATTGGCATGTAACGTATGCAACATTGCGATTTAACAAGCAAGCCAGGTGGATTTTAAAGCTGGAATTTAAAATTCAGTTTCCCACACATGTTCGATATTCCAGCAAGTATGCCAGGCATTTTTCTGAACATATATTGCTGGCCATTATATTGATGGCCGCCGCAACGTGGATCGTGTTGCAGAAACGACTTCCGAAGTCTCCGGATCGTCCCCACAAGAACAAATGTGGTAATGCTGAAGGGATGAGACGATGAGACAGAGGGCACAGATGATGATGATGATTATTATTATTGTTATTGTTATAACTGGGTTATTTAACTGGGTTATTATTATTATAACTGGGTTATACAACGTAAATCTGCGTGCACTGCAGCAGTGGTCATTTTGTTCACTTCAACCTTCAACCATGTACCGAAACCAATTCAGAGCTGGATTTCATAGAAAAAAACTAGCGTCAAGGTAAACCCGTAATCACCCCTAAATCACTGCGAACCCGTAAGTTCGCGAAAAACAACAATTTGGAGAATTGAATCATAGCAAACTGCTGATCTACCCTCTGGAAATCAAATATGGCAGTGGAAAATATCCTATAAACGAAGGTTTTTATAGGATACCCTCTGGTAATTTGTTACATAGCTATTGAAAATGGCCATAGAAATAGTTGATTTACGCATTAAAAATGGTGATTTTCCAGTTCGCAAACTGTTAGTTTACCAAGGGGTAACCATCTATGAATGTGAGAGCCCAAGTGGGCCATGGGGCCGTCATTTTTGATGGGTCAATAAGATACCAACTTTCGATGGCATGGAAGTTGATTGGGTTGACCCCTTCATGATTCGTTTGGTTTCGCTTCCCATTCCTGATACAAACTTGGATCATACTGTATCACCAATGCACACTACAAGGGTTGTATTCTCATGCATTCATCATGTCGAACTTCAAATCGAGAAGTGGAATCAGAGGTTTACTACGTACCTCATGTGATTATCCCAAACATATTATTCAAATGGATTGTAGCCACCAACCAGTTTGATATTGGTGGTTTTATATGCCATTATATATATATACATATAAGTACGAATATATACATATACACATCATATGAAATATACTCATTTAATTTATAGATGATTTATCCCATTAAGTTCTCATGTTCCAACTGCTAAATCCATATATATATATACACATATACACACATGATTTCTTATGTTTTTCCCTTTCAATTCACCATATCATAGTTCCATGTGGTTACCATGTTTCTATATGTTTTTATCTTCCACCCCCCATGGGCACGCACATGGTTTTTGCAGATCACGAGATCGCTTGGCCGATGATCCAAAAGGTGGGCTTGGTGCTGATTGAAATCTATGCTGGGATGGGATTTAATGGGATTCAATGGGATCTGAAAAAGTGACTCAACGGGAATTTACCGTGATTTAATGGAAATTTATAGTGATTCAATGGGATCTGAAAAAGTGACTTAATGGGATATGAATGGGATCTACCGAAATGGTTATAGGACCAGATTTGGGCTTTACCCTCTTGTAGACTAACATATCTATATTGAAAATTACCATTAAAAGATTGGTAAAGCGTCGAACTAAATCGACAATTTCCCCTAACTGTGTTAATTACTGGAGGATAATGGGAATATGATGGGTATACATGGGTGTATTATTATACATATGTGGGATATTAATGACAACCGAAAGAGAATTTAAGTGGATCTTTCGGGTTCAACCAAGACCTTTGAAGAGTGTAGGCATACAGAAATGATCCATCATTGTTGAAACGGAACATAGTTGTGGAAGAAACACTTGGATACACTGGGGTCAATTAGAATTCGTGAGTTTGTTAGTCACTTATTTGTCGGAACTGCTTTAGTGTGTGAGCAACAGCTCATGGCGATTATAATATAGGCAATCAAGCTGGGAGGAACACCTTCTCGACCATGGTTACTATACGTTACGATGCTTTTCGGTCCTTGAGGAGTGCCCCTCCGCTTAGCAACCAAGGGTTACGAATCTCAGAGGTAACTGGAAGACCTCTTCTCTATTGGTTGGATAACCTGCTTAGTATGTTTTAGGATTTAGTTTCTACTACTGCACACACACACACACACACACGCACAGAGGGCTTGGCTAGTAATATTTTTGTAGATTTTGTGTTAATTTCCTACCTGATAGTGGTTTGGTTTCCACCTGTGAACGCCTCGCGCTGAGCCGGCTCCTCCACGTATAGGCAGTACATACCAGGCTTTCCCTGCACGCCGTACAGCTTGCTCGGTCAGAGCTAGCTGTTGGATGACCCTAATTCGAAACAGTTGTCTCAATTGGTGCGGCACTTGAAGGCACCACCCAGAAGAAGTCAAGGTGCACCTTGCATCACCGATTGAAACTGCTGGCGAATCTTGCGGAGGATGCCAGTCCCACTTGATAATATGAATCACAATCTCAACTTTAATCCCGTAGATATTATAATTAGATACAAGTAGTGGATTGGTTAATCCCATAAAAACATTATTTAGAATCACGCATCACTTAATCCTTATTTGCTCTGTAGATGAAAAACATTCGTTCACCAACAACTATTGATAGGGTAAATGAATTAAAATCCTTTTTTTAGTTCATATTGTTAGTCCCAGCTAATCCATATTTGGGCTAAAAGAATGGATTCATTGTGGGGTTTAATATGGAATCACCAAAAATGTGGATACTCCCAGTTAATCTATAAATTCTGGTGAACCTATATAGTAGTCCCAGTTGATCACCAAAAATATATGGATTAATCCTTTTTTTCACCATATGAAAACTGGGACTATCTATAATGCTAGAGTAATCCATATTAATCCCAACTATCACCAACTATCTATCTATTTTCATCCAGATCGATCCCAATTCGCATGACAACCTCCCAACCGTTAAGTGACGACGAGGCCAACGAGATTTTGGGCTACGACCTCTTCGATCTCACCGAGATTGGCCCGGAGGAGACTTTCCCATGGGGGAAAATAGATATCATTTACCGAATCACCCATGGAAATCCAGTAAATCACCCATTTTCAAAGCTATAGGCTATAAATATCCATCGGATTTACCTATGAAAATGGAGGATTTATAGCTTTGAAAACAAAAACGCAATAGGTATTTCAGGGATTTCATGAACACTGAGATGTTTTTCTATGTTGAAAACAGCGGTTTATTCATATGTTTTGTTGAGTTCACCATGGTATTTTCCGTGGTGAACATGAAGAATGTCAAGCCTGGATTAATAAACCCCAAACGATTGTTTAATTGGGAGGGTACCATTTAAGTATCATATTATGACTATTGGAGGAGTACCCCCCCCAATTAATAAACCATGGTTTATTAATCCGGGGTTGAGATTATATGTGAAACATTGTGAAACACTTGGACTTGGTTTAGCATAGAACACGTGAAGACCTTGGAAAAATGCTGAAACATTGGGACGAAAAACCAGCCTATGGGGGATTTTTTGTGGACTGATGCCTGAAAATTTGGTATGACCATGGGGACAGAACCCCCAAAAGTTGGGATGGGAAAACCTCTGCAATTATGACCATAGATCCATGCTTTCACTTTCAATCGGGATGGCCGTTGTGTGAGTCAAAATCCTTAAGTTTTCCACATGTCCAACATGAACAAACTTCCAGCAGGCGATTGACCAGCAGAAGAAGTGGAGAGAAAACTCAAAAGAATATCGTGTCGAGCTGGCTGTAAGGGTTTCCATACAGGATGGATAAATACCAAACTTAACACAATTTATGATGGCTATCCCTAGCTTATTCCACAGGAAACTTACAAACAGCGACTGCTGTTTGTTTCAGTGGCGATTGTCGAGGATGGCGTGAACTGAAATGTTGGTAACCGTGGATGGTAACTATGAAACAGCTGGTAAATAATGGGATGGATTAGATAGAAAATAAGGGGATAAACCAATAAAACCAACTGGTGCAGGATTTCGCAACCATCCACCGTAGGAGTTTAGTATCTTATGACTCTATCTATGATATAAAATAAGTTAAAATAATCATTTGGGTTAGTGGCGACACCACAATGTCACTACATATTGTGTCACAAGATGTTTTAAGATCAATGTTTCCCACTGCTCCGCGCGCTCCGCGTGCGCATGGTATACCAAAGCATCATTTGGCCTCTAGTTTCATCGGCAACAAAGTGGACCCCATTGATATATCTGTAATCCAAGCCAACTTGCTCAAACTTATCATTTATAGACAGATACGTCGAATTTCATGAAGTTGTTGACTATTTTTATGTTTCATCCTAGTTTTTGATGGTTAAACCACGTGAAATCCCAAGCATTGCGGCCCGGGCCCCACAGTGCCCCACAGCCAGTGCCCATAGCCAGTGCAGGAGAAGTTGGACGAGTTGGAAATTTGCCAAGCGGCGATTTTTGTGGCCGCTATGTGTGGCCTGGAGTGGCTCAAAGATCAGGCGGTTCGAGTGGGGTGCGAGGGCAAGTTGGATAGATTTTCATAGTTACCATAGCTGGTGGCTTAATGATGGGTAATGATGGTTAATTATGGTTAATCAAGGTTAATAATGCTATATCAAACTTGTACATATATAATGTATGAACATATACATTCTGGTTTGGTGGTTTGGAACCATGGAATTTTATGACTTTCCATTCAGTTGGGGGAGAATTTCATAACCCCAACTGACGAACTCATATTTGTCAGAGGGGTAGGTCAACCACCAACCAGATATACCTAGGCCTTCCGCAGGCCGTTTTTTCAGCCCGAAGCTGTTCAGGCTGACATTTTAGCCCGACTGTTTTTTTTTTTCGCCTGGGGTGGTTTTTTTCTGCCCGATTGTGTTTTTAGTGATTTTGATTATGTTTGGTTAAGATGCCCGCTCACACTGTATATTGTTGATATATTGTTGATAACAGTGTTAAAGAAGTTTACTGTTTTACATGAAAATCTCATTTCGGGTCTGTTTCGTGGGTGTTTTCGCCCGTTTCGTGGGTGTTTCCGCCCGAAAAAAAAAATATAAAAATTAAAAACCAGAATAAAAGAACAGCGAACATCACCCACAGAGCATTTCTTTTCACCTGGATCGTCCACCAGGATCTTATCAGAATACCTCAAAATATGGATAAAATCACTGTCCGCCTGAGGTTTCATTTTCTGCCCGGAAAGTCCGCAGGCTGATATTTGAGAAAAGGCTGAAATTAAGGTCTTTTGGAAGATGCAGGTATATATATATAATATATATATATACACATATACACCCTCTGGTAAATTAACAGTTGGAGCCTGAAAATGTTAGAAATGTGTGAGTGGAAACTATTCCAAGCCCTGCAGGGTCGTCATGCTAATTTACTGGAGAGTATATATTCTCGTTATTTCTAGTCAATCATCACTCCCAACTCCTGATCTATGAGAAAATGTTCCTTTCAGGACCTCAGTAAGATCTATGCTAATCCTAAGTTGGGTTGAAAAGGGACCCAGCACTGCCTTCAGTTGGTTGGTGGCACAACTTCAGCTGAATAATCCACCTGTTTCCTATCCTGTTTCAATTGATGCCGATTGCTGCAAGCTGAATTCCCATGTGTTTATTGGGGGATATACTAGCCATCCTGGTTGGTGGTTTGGAAAATGTTTTTCTTTTTCCATATATTGGGAATTTCATATTCAGAGGGGTAGGTCAACCACCAACCAGCATTTATGGTCCATGGTTGCTCATTAGCCTCCAGTAAGCTAACAGTTTGCTATAGAAATCCCCATGTTGAATTGGTAAATCATCGAACTAAAGGGTCCATGTTCCATAAATCGGGGGGGTTCTCCTAAGTTTCCTGTAGAAACTAACAGTTTGCTATGGGAAATCACCATCTTTCATAGGTAAATCAACAATTTCTATGGCCATTTTCAATAGCTATATAACAAATTACCAGAGGGTAGGTACAATCCAATTATCCACAATTCATCCATTCTTGTTGGTGATTTTCCATAAAATAAACCATATAAAGCCTGGGGTAACCAGTTCAGGAGGGCAAGGACAAGGGCGATGCAGCCGCGGCCGCGGGCATGTCCTGTGGTGAATTGGCGGCCTTGTGTACGGCAGGTGACGCGGTGACCGGGTTGGGGCAAACGAACAGTTTGCGAACTGGAAAATCCACCATTTTTAATGGGTAAATTCAATAGTGATGTTAAATTACCAGAGGGTAATATGGGTTGGACATTTTTGGTTACTGTAGTATTATCGTTAATATTGGTTAATATTATCGATTCATATGGGTTAATGGTGGTTAGTATTGGTTAATGGTGGTTAACAATGGGAATATCATGGGTTGATAGTGGTTGATAATGGTTGATGTAACGGTTATAGCGGTCGTTGATAATGGGAAAGTATTGGCTAATAATGTTTAATAGTCGGAAAGTTTTAATTGATAGTAGTGTTAATAGTGGTCAATGGCAAATTACCTACTTCTGGTTGGTTGATAACTATGACATATTATGAAATACGAGTGGTGAATAGTGGGAAAACCATGGTCACTAATGCTTAATATTATACGGTCAATGTTGGTCGACTGCGGTTAATTAATCGTGGTTAATGACGGATTTGCTTGATAGTGGCTAAATATGCTCAGTAGTGGCTAGTTACACACGCGACCATTATCATCCATGACCTGTTCGGAAAACCACGACCATTTACCATACTTTTAGCACCGGAAGATCACAACGGGTGGATTTGCAAGCCAGCCGTGTCAAATTACCCTCTGGTAATCTGTTACAGCTATTGAACATGGCCATAAAAATAGTTGAATTTCCTACCAATAATGGTGATTTTCCATAGCAAACTGTTAGTTTACCAACTGGTACATGGAAAAACCCACTGTGCTGTGGCTTTGATTGAACATGTACCAACGATGGCAAGTGGAAAGTGATGATCAACCAAACGATTGCATTGAAGTGAACTGGGCGCAAATGTTTTCAGATCTCGCTCATGTGATACATTCTAGGGGATATCACACATATATCAATTAGAATCATTTATAATATATATATATAGTCGAATATGGTATATTTTTGGGGAACCATAATATCATAGAATTGGATGATGGGAAAATTTACAGGAAAGCCCTATATTTGATGGTAAAAACCATGGTTTCCTGTAGATTTTCCCTTAAACCAATCCATTGATAATATAGTAATATATCCCATACCATGCTCTACAAAACCTTTTTCAAACCTCAAACGGAATCCACGTCGGCCTTGGGGATGAGTTTGTCCGCCTGGCGGCAGCGCAGACAAAACTTGCAAGGGCTGCTTCAAGCCCCAAATCATCCAAATGAAACGATGTTTATGATTGAAACCCATGGTAAACCCATGGTAAACCCATGGTAAAATGAGATTTGTTCATTTTAAGAAACCTGCTTCCCATTTTCACAAAACGGGGATGAACTTCACCAGCCGTCCAGTCCCAACGAAGTCCCAAGACGTTGTGGTTCGGTCCCAATCTCCGCAGGTTGCTTTAGCTTCGAGGCAGTCCCGGGATGGCACGGGTTGAATTGCATCCCCCCTAGTGGTTGATGGTGGTTGATACTGTCTAATGATGAGCAAAAAAGGGAGCAGCCTCCAGAAACATCCAGAAACCATGGTCTAGTAATGTCTAGTAGGTAAGAAAAACACACATATTTGGGACCATAGAATGGTGGCGTTTAGGGGATGATATTTATCAATGGAGGATAGTGACTGGGCCTTCCTGTACCAACCAATGTCTAGCCATATTGAACATGCATTTGTATATCCATTGAAACGTTGGCAATTATCAAAACAAGAACTCCGTGAAACGTGTGACATGATTGGTTAACAACCGTTTGCAATGTTTATTAACCAACAAAACCATACATACATACATATATAGATATATATAGGATGATCCTTGTAAGCGGGTGGGTGGAGACAGTGATCTCGTTTTTCCTTGGAGGGTAATTTAATTTGGGATTGTTTTTTATCCAGGAGTCCTGGCTCCTGGTGGCTCCTGGTGGCTTCTGCGGCTTCTGTGGCTTCTATGGCTTCTATGGCTCCTGGCTCCTATGGCTGATCTATATCATTCTATATCTATCTATATCTATCTAAATCTATCTATATCTATATCTATCTATATCTATCTATATCCATCTATATCTATCTATATCTATTTATATCTACGTATCTATATCTATCTATATCTCTATCTATATCTGTATCTATATCTATATCTATCTATATCTATCTATATCTATGTATCTATATCTATCTATATCTACGTATCTATATCTACCTATATCTATCTATATCTATCTATATCTACCTATATCTATCTATATCTATCTATATCTATCTATATCTATCTGTATCTATATCTACATCTATGGCTGTATCTATATATCTATATACCTATATATCTATATACCTTTAAATATATATATATATACATTTATATCTATATGCATTATCATCGGGATGAAATTCAAACCCCAAGCCAACCCTGAACCAAACCTTATATAAAGAGATCTTAAACCAACTCGATGATAACATCAAATGAAACTATTGTGCATCGTTGTGCCTTAACCTACATTCCACATGTTTCCAAGGTGCATGTCGTGTAGTATATACACCTTGAGTATCACATTCAACCCAGCACCTTGCATGTGAAAATAGGTGTTTCCAATCTGCTTTGGGGGGGAGGCGCTGCGCCCTCCCCCCCAATCCCCCCCTCCCGTTTTTTTTATTTAAATTCAAACTTGCACACATTTCAATACACTAGTTTGGTTAGACTATATATATATATATATATATATTGTATATACATTGTATATATATATATACATATGGTTGTTTATGGTAAGGTCCCCTCGAGGGCGTCGCGGAGTGTTGTCGTTTTTTCATGTTTGCGTTATTTTCGAAGCATCCATTTCATGCCACGTTTTACAGTGTTTTCTTCTGCTTCGTTGCATTTTCTGCTGTTTTTTACTGTGTTTTTTGTGACGTGCTTCCTGTGATAGTTGCGTGTCGGCATGCCAGGGTTTGCTTGGGGGGCGGGGTGGGGGGGTGGGTGGGTGGGTGGGGGGGGTTGGGGGGGTGTTGGGGGGGGGGATGATAACGTTCTTGTTTATTAACGTTCTTGCATCTGCGTTCTTGACACGCTTTCACTTCTGCAAGTGACGGTTTGACACGCGTTGGATGTTTTGGTTTTGATATGTTGACGTTGGTGTCCGGTGGCGTGTGGGCATGGGGTTGGGTTTGGGGGGGATTACAACGTTCACGTTAACCAGCGTACTTGCAACTACTTCCTTACACGCATTTCCTATTTGCAATTCATATCATCATCATCTCCAACATCATCATCATTATCAACATAATCATCATCATTAACATCATCATCAACATGATCACCATCGTCAACATCATCATTATCTTCATCATGATCAACATGCCCATCATCATTATCAACATCATCATTCTCATCATCATGATCAACATGATCATCATCATTATCAACATCATCATCATCATCATCAACAACAACATGATTATCAACATGATCATCAACATGATCATCATCATTATCATCATCATCAATCGCTTCGGTGAGGTAAAAAAAAAGTTACTTCGGAGACCCCTCTTGGAAGATGCATTTTAAAAAACTTCACGAAATGCAGGTTTTAAAGGCGTTGTGCGTTGAAAAACGCGCGACGCCCTCGAGGGGACCTTCCCTTGTTTATATACACAGCTTTCATCCCAAAATAAACTGTAAATAATCATGTGCATGCATATGTGTCCACATAAGTATAGTTATTCATATGTACATGTTGTATCCCTAAATAGCCCCTAATCCAACCCTAAACAAACCCTAAGCAGACCCTAAACGAGCCCTAACGAAACCTTAAAACCAACCCTAAATAGACCTTAAACAAATCTAGAATAAACCATAAACCAACCCTAAATAAACCCTAAAACCAAACCCTGCAGATATATTAATTACACTTGTAAATACATTGATCTACATATGCATATAGTCATGATTAGTCATGCATGTATACCTCTAAACATCTACAGTTTATAGTTTGCACATCATGTATCTCCAAAAATCAATGAACACTTCGGAAAAAAAACAATGAAAACAATGTAAAAATCAATGAAAACTTTGGAACAATGAATGAAAACCAGTAAAAAATAAATGAACACCATACAAAAATTGAAGAAAAACATAGAAAAATCCATTGACAATCTCCCCAATACCCCCTTCCTGTTTTCTTATTGAGGAAGGAAGGAAAATGTGAGGAAAATGATGAAAAACCAAGGAACAGTAATGGAAAACGAGGAAAACGTGAAGGAAGTGAAGGAAAACAAATGAAAAACCAAGGAAAAGTAATGGAAAACGAAGAAAAAGTGATGGAAGTGAAGGAAAACCAATGAAAAACTAAGGAAAAATAATGGAAAACAAGGAAAAAGTGAGGAAAATTGTGAAAAACCAAGAAAAAGTAATGGAAAACGATGAAAATGTGAGGAAAATTATGAAAACCAAAGAAAAATATTGGAAAACGAGGAAAAAGTGAGGAAAAATGAAGGAAAACCAATGAAAAACGAAGGAAAAGTAATGGAAAACAAGGAAAAAGTGAGGAAACCGTCCCCACGACCAAAAAAACAATAAAATCCCAAAACAAGAAAAAAAAACAAAAAAAAACCGCACCCTTTTTCCTTGCTCCGTGGACATGGAGATATCTGCTGCTTTCACCAACAAAAGCCATCCAAATCCATCCTGCTCATGGCTGACGAAGAGGGGATCAGAGGGGTAACATATGATAACATGTATTTTGGTCACAACTGATGCTGGAACATGCTTGAACACTCTGTGCGCTTTAAGGCATTCTATGGCCAAACCGCCATAAAGATGTTGGGCAACGATTGAGTTTCCATATGTCACTTTACCCGACATTGGATCAGTAGATGAACGGTTTCATTTTCGGAGAATTCAATATTCTGGTTGAAACTAGATCTTCTCAAGGTATTTTTTTTGTTGATAGACCACCATTTGTCGTCATGTAAATTTATCATTTTTGGTTGGCCAAATCGCAACGTTGGGGACTTCCTGTATATATGCTCTATATTTCCCATTAGCACTGGTGATTTCTTGTGTGTGTTTCCATACGTTCCCACATATTCTCGTGATTGTTGCAACATTTTCACATGGTTTTCCCCAAAATCTCTAAATGGATTTCATACACACACACACATGTTGTTTTCTACGGATTTCCGAAATTTACCTCTTGATTTTCCACATGTTCCTTTGAATTTCCCCACGTTTTCCAACATGTTCACGCCGCTGCCAGGATGGTGTTCGTTTGGCCCGTCTACGGGGGGAGTTGATGAAGAAAGCCGTGGAGGCAGAGATGGGCCCCCAAAATCATCCATTTATAGATGGATGTTCCATGAAATAAACCATCCAGCTATTTGGGGATCACCCGTATATGAAAATCCCTATATATATATAACATACATAGGATTAACCACATATCCTCTATATACTAATCAACATTAGCTTGTTATAGGCATTATGATAAGCCATTAATCGCATATCCATTACTGTGTGTCAAGTATCGAGGTGTACCTACTTTTATCCCCATCCTAATTTTCCCATATTTAGGAAGTCAATCACTATATGTTGCTAGTTTATTGTTGCTCAGACAAGATAGGTCACCATTGGTTTGTTTGATATTTGCGAAAACTTGAATGGCTAATCCATCCGAATTTCTATCACTGGCTAACCCATGGAAGAAGCCCTATCGAAAAGAACAAGGGACACAAAAAACAACACAACAACTGGTTGGTGGCTGGGAACATCTTTTAAAACAAATATGTTTTATATCTTAGGAATAATCATCCCAACTGACTGTCATATTTTTCAGAGGGGTAGGTCAACCACCAACCAGCAACACAACAATCAAGAGGTTTTTTGCGGATTTGAATCCCAAACACGCAAGAATTTCATCCACATCATGATCCGGCTGTATCCCATGATCGGGCAGTAGAATGTACATAGCCAACAAATCAACAGATGGTGTAACAATGATACATTGATATCTTGCGGGTTAGATGAAGGGGGGCATAATGGGGATATAGTGGGGATATAGTTGGGCTGCATTGGTGTACAGTGTACATAAACTTACTGGGAAACAATTTCAAAAACTGTAATTATTGGGACATAGCTGCTACACGATAGGAAAATTGTTCTTGATGAAATTGATAAATCAGAGGCCATGAAACTTTTGTGGATATCAAATATTATTGGACTGGTCAGGATTGATAATGAAAGGTATAGTATTGGATTAGAATCCAATAGTAGACAAATATCACTTGGAGAGGTATATCGTTATCATTATGGCATCCAAGGTGTCATTTGGTTACTCTTCTGAACATACGTTTTACTCAGTAAGGAGCGCATACAACCAAATCCTAGACTCAGAGAGCTGCTGGTGATGTATGTTATTATTTGGCGAGTGAACATCAGTGAACATATGGGTTTAGTCATGTTCACTATTTACTAAACTGAAACTCCCCATGTTCATTCTCACAGAGTGACGTCATAGGTGTTGACAAGCCATCCCCGTATGGTGGATGCAGATTTTGATTGATTTGGTGTTGTAGCTACCTCCAATTGAGGCAAAACCATTGCTGGTTTCAACAGCTGATCCCCCGTAAAGTGATGATTTGTGAAGCATTAAATACAAACAGGGTAATACAGGTTAGACCAAAGGTTTGAATGAACATACACCACACTTCCCTTGGTTTAGCATCAGCATCCCTATGACCACATGTTTTGACATTCCTCTTCAAACAGGGTTGCTCCATGTTGCTCCAACCTATTCTGGTTGGTGGTTTGGAACATGAACTTTATTTTTCCATATATTGGGAATGTCATAATCCCAACTGACTTTCATATTTTTCAGAGGGGTAGGTCAGCCACCAACCAGATAATGTTCCCATTTAGATACCCTTTTGATGGCTGGAGATTTCCCAGCCATGTTTGATGACACTTAAGGGGTAATTCTGCCCAATGATAGATGCTTACTTAGGTAGGTGATATTACTTACTTGATTAATTTACCATTGTACCATTGATTAATTCTGTAATTGATGCCCAATGACACTATTGATTAATTTCTATTGATTTCATTTCTATTGTAGGTCAATGATCACAGGCCGGCGGACGCTGAGCCAACCCAAGCTCCAGGAGCAGAAGGAAGCGCAGAAGATGATCTCAGTGTCTTGGATGATTGCCGCCAAACACGAGGCTTAAATGAGACTTAAATGAGGGATTTGTAAGTTTCACAACTTGGTGGGATTTCAGCCAAAAACCAGGGAAAAGGGTGATATCAATGGCTGATTGGTGGTGACTGGAACCATGGAATGGATTATGACTTTCCCATCATATTGGGAATTTCATAATCCCAAATGACGAAGTCATTTTTATTCAGAGGGGTTGGGCTCAACCACCAACCCGTGAGGCTTAAATGAGGGATTTCTAAGCTGCACAACTTATAGTAACTTGGTGGGTCAGCCAAAAACCAGGCTCCTGGTACTCCATGTTGGGTTTAAGCCACAACACCATTTTTTCTTCTGAAAAAAGCTAAAAAAGCTTGCGCAAAACATCACTTAAGATACCGACGTTTAGCGGGGATCCTGCTATAAAGCATGTGAACATGTCTTAATTGAGTCGCAGGGTCAGTGTGAATGTTGGAACGTTGTTTCTGCCATGCATTGGAACCCACCTCAATTCACCCAAAGCATCAGATCCTACAGCAAATCTCCTCAAATGGCTATGGCTATGAATTTCCCCCGTAAATTGGGAGCTAAGAAGCTGGGAATTGGGTTCCCATTGAGTTCCCTAATCACATGATACTTTGACAAAAAAGGAAACAATGTAAGCTTTGTGAAATGACCATCTGAGGTTTGTGAACTGACTCTGATTGAGGGCTTAGTTCAAATCTCCTCAGATCGCCACCCATTTGATGTGGTGCTACTTGTACCTAGAAACCCTGCTTTGGTAGATTTACAGGATGTATTTCTTATGTTGAATACGAGTTTTGTTATGTACTTGGTGAGAACAGATCGCAAGCATGGTGCGAGATGGTAGATCCACCACGGCTGAGGTGATGCTAAATGTCCATAAATGTCCCGCTTTGATCTGTAACTGAGGGATTTGAAGATCACTATCAAACACTGTTGGTATTATCATATTGTTATCCCCAATAGTTGGGTGACGTTCCTTTTGAAAAGGAATATTTGCCAACCGCCATTGACATGTTCACACGTTGAACCTGGCGCTGGACTGGGAACATAGAAAAATTACTTTACTTCGTGTGATCCCCACCATGACATTTATACATGTTGTTACTGGCAAATCTTCTGGCAGCAGAGGCAAAAGATGGAGAAGGCGTATGGATACGCCGGGACCAGCCGAGTGAGGCAGCAGAGGCAGGTCAAAGAGAATGGCTCAGAGTGAGCGGCAGTGACGAAGTGATGCAGGCCTTTAAGGCCGAGCTACTGGCTATGCAACCTGATGCTCAGGTGTTCACGCCAGTGATAGTGGCACCAGGCACCACCCGCATACACCAAGTGAATTGCGCTTTGGTGCGAGCTGGACAAAGGTTCACCCACCTTCAGTGCCCGAGCTGCGCTGGAGACCTCCAATCGGAGTTCGACAGGCTCGTGCCTGACGAAAGCAAAGTCTTGCACAGCCAGCTCACGTGCCCAGCCTTGAAGGAAGTGGCACAGGGCCGGCTGCTCATTTTACCTGGCATATCTTCTGGCATATGTTCTGGCATATCTTCTGGCATTCCATCTGGCATTCTATCTGGCATATTATCTGGCAAACATTCTGGCACTTTATCTGGCATATCTTCTGGCATTCTATCTGACATTTTATCTGGCATTCTATCTGGCATACCTTCTGGCATTCTATCTGGCATATCTTCTAACATTCTATCTGGCATATCTCCTAGCACTCTATCTGGCATATCTTATGGCATTTTATCTGGCATATCTTCTGGCATTCTATCTGACATTCTATCTGGCATATCTTCTGGCATTCTATCTGGCCGTTGAGGTCCAGCGGTGCGCACTGAGCTGGGAAGGTCCCAGGTTGAGGTCCAGCCGTGCGCACTGAGCTTGGAAGGTCCCAGATTGAGGGCCAGCGGTGCGCAGTGCGCACTGAGCTGGGAAGGTCCCAGATTGAGGTCCAGCGGTGCGCACTGAGCTGGGAAGGTCCCAGGTTGAGGTCCAGCAGTGCGCACTGAGCTCGGAAGTTGGCGAAGAGCTTGGCGAAGAGTTGGCAAGGCGGAAGTGGAGGTGGAAGTTGATGCAGGCATGGTCGAGGAGAAACTGGAGGAGGAGGCGGAGGAGGAGGAGGACAACAGCTCGGATAAAATTTAACAACCCTCACCTGGCAGGTGGGGAAAAACCCAAAAAGATGCCGAAAAGTAACGGGACGAGATGTTGGAGATGGAGACACCTCTTCAAAAATACCAACTTTATAGAATATTTAATTAGCCTATTCCAAATATATTTAGTGGCTATAGAGACTATAGTGACTATAGTATTTATACATACATGCATGCATGCATACATACATACATACATGTATACTATCATTATCTATCATTATATACAATATATCATTGTATGCTGTATGATATCATTATGTACATCCCAGTTTTGTGTCGGCTAAATACACCCTTTGTTGGTGCTCACCAACCACTCGGGCAGCTCCACGGCTGTGTCACCCAGGTGGTTGGTCTCACAGATGATGAGGCGGAAAGTCTCTGCGAGGTGCGAACCAGAGCTGGACGTGATGTGCTATGAAAGCTGGGAAAAGCTTCGGGGTATACATGCATATATATATATATGCTATATACATATATACATACTGTGTATATGTATAGTATGTATATATATATATATATAGGTTACATTATTGATATAATGGAAAAGGGTATGAAGTAGATATATATATTTGGTTTGATGTGTATATGGCTATATGGTAGATTGACCGCAATATAGATAGTGCGATGTGTTTTATCGGAAGTTTAATAATATTATACAACGGATATAACATGGGATGCTGCAAAGAATGAATATATATATATACACATAAACATACACATATATACTATGTATATACATATGTGAAATGCATGCACAAATATGTATTGTTTTTTGTTATTACCATGATAATATTGGGATATATGTTGGTGTCTGAAAATGGTGGTTTCCCGCAATTGATGATGTTTGTCGGACAATTCTTATTAACCAGGAGATAGGGTAGCCTATGTTGAGACAAACAAAACCATATTCGCATAGTTTTTGAATATACATGTTGACATTTGACCACAAAAACTGGGACTGTGACCAATAACTATGGGGATCGCAAGTTCCAAAGGTGGATACTGAAAAATGGGGAGTTTGGAACCATATATGATTAAAAACCGAGGGGTCACCCACATTGAACAACAAATATGTAAATGCGAACGGTATAGCGCATATTTTGCCAACAAGACGTTGCCAAAATGATTTTGGGGTATACATTCGCATGTACACATAAAAGATCTATACTGTTTTTTCCCGTGAAACCTATATTTTGATTATCTTGACATTGCTGGGTCCAAAGGGGGTGCCATATATATATATATACACACAAGACACTCATTATTATATTCGAATTCACATATATTTATATGTATATGTGCATATATATATATGTATATATTCATGTACATGTATTTATTTATTTATTTATATGTATTTATTTATATGTATATGTATATGTATATATATATATATGCACAGTTGTCACAGTATACAAACGCATAGGTCCATAGGTGTTACCCTGCTCGCAGCATATGGATTCGGATGGAGTCCGGGACGCAGATCTCCCCTGGTTTTTGTCCGTTGACCCCAGCGGCATCATTTTGTGGATGGTGCAGATGATGCTGATGCCGAGTCAAGGCCTTAAGGGGCAAAGTTCCCTGCACGACTGGTGCTGAAGGAGCTAAAGGAACACTCGAGGATGGACGCTTGGCGGGTCTGTCCAGTGAGTGGGAAATCCAAACAGCCGCACCAGGAAATTGGACCTAAAGAGTTTTACATCTGTGCAAGCACTGCGATGGTCTTGCTGGGAAAACACACAGAGAACCTTTGTTTTTCCAGGCAGATATATCCCTTCCTTAAAGGTCCGGATGTTGGGTTCTCCATTCTTGGTGCCCGTTTTGAAGATGCCCAATTTTGGGGGGCTAGAGGTCCCAAATTTCCCATATGTTTCTACGTTCAGTACCAGTATCCAGTGTTATCCCATGTCAAATATCCCTGCTATTTTAAACCTTTTTTGAAATTAGATCCATATGTGAAACCAACGATAAAAAACATTTTTTTAAATTAGATCCATATGAAACCAACGATTTTTTAATCGTTGGAATTTTCCCACTTTTTGGATGGGTTATCTCAATTCACCAGGTGATGTGTGGTGATGTTTACGAGGTGTAAGGTTCCTGCCGTTGGACAGGACTCCCCCATGATTGTTTGGTCATCCAGCAACTCATGGATATTCAACAAAAGACCGCAAGTATATCCAGGATATTTCTGATATTTATATGGATATATATGATATATTTATATCCAGTTTTGAATGTATATCTGTTTGATGTAAATATCATAAATGTCATATGGCAGTGTGTCAAAACCTTGTACCCGTGTAGTTCACATCAAAATAGCTAGGATGTATGGATGTTCCTCCCCCTAAAAATGGTATTAATAGGTATTGATCCACACCCATATGACATGACATAACCATTTAATACCATTAAAAATATAAAATGTTATATAACCTATATTGACACACCATATATTTTTAAATGAGAATATAACCCCCATATGTGTTTTCTCATCTTCCCGCATGTTTTTTTTCATCCAAGCCGGGATCTCCACAGGATGTGTTGGCGAAAACCGCTGGAACCTGCCAGGCGCGGCCGTTTTTTTTGGTGGTTTTGATCCATCTGAACAAAACCCCCGATGAATTTCAGGCAACAACAAGAAGAACATTAATGATTTTTAGAGGTCTAAACCCTGCTTTCCTGTAGACTTTCCCTTTTTGGTGATTCCTTTGAACGAATCTCTGAACGTGCATTTAAGATTAATCAACACACCCAATACATATGGTTTTGAATGACAACAATAGTAGACGGATCACCAAGCCATGTCCCTGTGGGAAAAAAGGAGGGAGCTAATTTGAGATTTTGCAGTTTCTTTCCTGGTTACAGTTTTGATGTCACTTGTTTGGGAATGATTGGGTAATAAACGGGTATATGATATATATATATATACACATTAGCTGCAAAAACCACCGTGGTTCAGCAAATTTGAAGAATGAGCCACCAAGTCCGTTTTTTTGCTGATATCAACATGTCTCTTAGTTTACACTTTGTGTCTCGATGTCCTTGTGGTTGTGGTTGTTGTTGTTTTCTATCCCTGCTTTTGGTTGGTGAAATCTCCATGTTTTGTATTCATTACCTCCAAAATGGAATCTGCCGTTGTTGTATTAGAAGCAAATGGCTGGAGGAATTCTGATCTCCATTTTGCTGTTGTATCCGCAAAGTGCAATGGACAAGCTACGAAACATGTGTGTTTTCCCAGCAAAGTGTGTCCAGAAGTAGGGGGACATCCAAGTGTATGGCCATTTCAATCGGTGGAAAATTATGATAAATCCGTAGCACACAGAATCTCAATGAAGATCCGGCAACCAACAGCTATTGAAAATTGCCATTTATAGTGGATTTTCCCATTAACAATGGTGATTTTCCATAGTTATGTTAGTTTACCAGATGGTAACTATCTGGTGATCAATGGCAAATCAACTATTTTCCTAAGTAAGTTCGATGTACCCTATGGTGATTTAAACGTTGCTGGAAACTCCCCCATTTATAGATGATGTTCCCATTTACTGGTTGGTGGTTTGGAACATTTGGATTATTTTCCATTCAGTTGGGAATAATCATCCCAAGTGACTAGTATTTTTCAGAGGGGTTGAAACCACCAACCAGATGATGTTCCCATTTAGATACCCATTTCATTTGGGGATTTCCCAGCCATGTTTGATGACACTTGATGATAATTCTGCCAATTTATAGATGTTCCTCTTATATCCTTTGAAACGTCCACCGGTCACCAAAACCCATGAACAACCATTAAAATATTGGTTTTAAACCCACCATTGAAACCCATTGAAATGCATTTAAATCCATTAGAGAAGCCATTAAAACCGGTCCCAGATGCGTCGTATGGCGAGGTGGCCAATCGCCTCTTCCCTTGCGGCGTGGCGTTGCGGGGAGCCTCGAGGAGCTGGTACCCCAATAGCTGGATGGTTTATAATGGAAAATCAGATGTCCTCTTCCCATTGGTTGGTTGATTAATAGAGGGGTTTGTTTACCCCTGTAACAACAGGTAAACGATGATAGATGGTATACCAAACCGGTCCCTCTATTTTTACTAAAAGGACATTTTTGGGAAAATCCCATAGAAAAATATGGATGATGATTTGCGGGTAGCCCAAAATGGATGAAAAAACCCTAGTAAAATGGATAATGGTACGGGGTACCCCCCATTTTTGGAAACCTGTGGGTTGCGATTCTGAACCAAAGAAATGGGTATGAGCTAGCCCAAATTCTGTCTGTTAGACTATATATGCTAATTAGTAGTTATGACATGTTATGACAACAAATCGGAAAAAATGGTCATGGTCTAACTAACATATGTGAATGAAGATATCTGGGGAGTATCCAGTGCAATATGTCTATGGCTCAAAACAAAACCTATAACATCATATTTTAAGGGATGGAACCCCCATTTACCAGTTATTTTGGTGTGAACAGAAGGGCGCCAGGGTTTTTGACCCATTTCATTCAAGCAACAATAGATTAGCCCCATATGCTGATCGACTTGTTAAAGATTCGATCGCTTGGGGAAGTCACCAGCAAATAGCTAGGGATGTAATAAGTTGAATATCAAAAATTACTGTAAACTTGATATTCAACACGTACGTAATGTGCGCATTGCCCAACAACGTGATCGGAGATAACACCATAAAATGGGCCACATTTTTCGCAGTTCCCAAGCTCGGAAATGGGTTTCAGAAGCATGGCCAGTGCACCTAGCTTTTTTTGGGGGGATAGCCTCAGTTGTACAGGCGGAGATGGGTTTCATGTTGTACCCAATGGATCCAAATGACGTGTCATCATGATAAACCAACTTAAACGTTTGTCAAACCATGACTACCAGGTTGTTACCATGGATATTTTTGCTGCTTAAAGTAAGTTAAAACAATTTTGATCATGGTTTCCTCATTCTGACATTATGGCTGGTATAGTCTTTCTTTTTGTCCAACCCAAAAAATGTGTTCCCAACTCAAATCCTTTTACCCTCCAGCAAACATGAGCCCACAAAATCCCCAACGGAAAATTGCCATTTGGTTCGTTGATTAAAACGGTGATTTTCCATGGCAAACTGTTAGTTTACCAGAGGGTATCCCCATTAGTCACTATAAATTACCAGAAGGTAAATGATTAATAATCATTTGTAATCACAAGCAATCACTAATAAACACTGTTAATCACCATAATCACTATCAATCCCAGCTGTTTAAGGGGTCTATCATCCCATCAAATATCCCACTATCAACCACTATTATATAATCAGTACTAATCACTATTAATCACCATGAATCACTATTGAATCATTAATAACTACTATTAGATTAATCATCATTATATAATCATCAGTAATCACGATTCATCATTAAACATAATCATTAACCATCATTAACCATTGATCATCATCAACCATCATTTCCGCTTCCGCCAAAAGCCATGGAATTTCCGCTTCCGTTTTCGCCAAGGTCGGGCACCTTGCGCGCAGTGCAAGCGGCCAAGGCATTGGCCAAGGTGGGGCACAGAGCGTTGGATGATGTAAGGTGATGGGAGATATAATGGTGGTTAATATGGGAATATCTATGGTTAATGGTGATTAATAGTGGATTAATGGCGATTAATGGTGGTTATTAATGGCTAATAGTGAATTAATGGTGATTACCCTCTGGTAAACTATTGAAAATGGCCATAGAAATAGTGGATTTTCCCATTAACAATGGTGATTTTCCATAGTTATGTTAGTTTACCAGATGGTAACTATCTGGTGATCAATGGCAAATAACCTATCTTCCAAAGTAAGTTCGATGTACTCTCTGGTGATTTAAACATAGTTTGCTGGAAAAGCCCCCATTTATAGATGATGTTCCCATTTACTGGTTGGTGGTTTGGAACATTTGGATTATTTTTCCATATATTGGGAATTTCATCATCCCAACTGACGAACTCATTTTTTGGGGGGTGGAAACCACCAACCAGATAGGTTTATAATAAGGTTCTGATATAACTACAATATACTACAATAGGTTCTGATACTGATAATCTGATAATTACAACAGGTTTATTGATATACTGTAGATTTATAACTACAATAATGAAGTTTATAAACCAAGTATAGGTATATAGAAGAAATGATGTTGTTAGTAGCCATAATCTTACTATACGATATTGATATAGTCCAACATCCTTGGTTAAGAATTGTTACTATGATATAAATTTATGTTATAAGTATATAATTTGGCAATGGTAATAATTATAGGATGTTTCTATGTTATCCATACTATCGTAAAAATATGGCTGAGTTAACGGTGATGCGCAATCATGAATGGTAAATGGTGCTCTAACCATCAAACATGGTGATTTACCCTCTGGTTATTTAACATAGAAAATCACCATTTTTGATAGGTAAACTAATTTACAGTATATAAATGAGCGGTTTTCCATGGCTATGTTAAATAACCAGATTGTACCAAATATATATATACACGGATTAATTGGGATTCATTGTTGATTTATGATAGCTAAGTTGGATTATAGCTCAAATAACCAGGGGTTCTGGATGGTTCTAATTAAACAAACACCTGAGAAATGTTGTTATTGGGTATTGAGTACATGTGTATATAATAGGTATTGACAATTCATCAAAAAAAGGGGTTCCGGACCCATGTTCACAGTGATGGGCACGCCTTAGTGAAGGGGAATTCAACACTTCATGAATGGAACCATTCAATACACAACAAAAAGGTACATGTTCTTGCACGGTATGGGCATCTGAGATTTACAATGCTTTAAACAGCCAGATGCCTATAGTTTGACGCAATCAATGTCGGATTTCAGCAACCATAGATTTTCAACTTTTGTTTATTTCCTAAATTTGGATTTCTTTGAGGGATTCTTTCTTACCTGAACCAGTTTAATCATTCCTTTCAAAACAGGTTGTTAATCTAGCGGAAGTCAAGGTACTGCGCGCTCATCCAGATGGAACCGTCATTGGACGTCGAGCCGCCTCTGCAGATCTGAAATCCGGCTGGTCATCGTCATGCTCTGCTGTTCGCAGGAACATCTCCCGCTGTTGCCGAGGTCTCGGCAACACCCGCTGCCGAGGTCTCGCCTCTTGCAATGCTTCATCAGGCCTTCTTGGCCTTCTACTTCAAGGCGGTCGAACCTGCTTCATCGAACCATACGATTCGCCCGCGGGCGTGCTGCAGCTGAGCGCTTCACACGGCGGTTGGCAGTTGGGGAAAAATCAGGATTTTCTGTGGTAAAGCCATTGATAAACCGTAAATTTTAGGTAGCATCATTATTGGAAATTGGCCAAGTCATGGTTTCTGATATTTTTGGTAAGTGTTGTTTGGGAATTTTATCAATATAGTGATTGTAAGTTATATATGGAAATAGTACCAATAATATTTCCAGCAAGATGGTGATACCAGGTATACCAGAATATACCAGAATACTGGGTTGTAAATGCTATCCCAAAACGGTAGTTCTATTGTTAGGTTTACCACAATAGAAGTGGAATTCCGCAGCTGCCTAGTTGCGCTCTGTTGACACTGAGCAGGTCAACATCGCCTTTGCTTTTTGAGGAAGGGGATACCGGGGACATTGACATCGTTTCCTGTTCCTCAACATACCTTAGCTGCCTTTAAATAGGCCTCTGGTATTCACAACAGCTACCTCTGCTGCCTTTAAATAGGCCACGGGTATTCTGGTTTTTGGACATTAATTTCATTTTAATTGGCTTGCTGCGTGGGTTGATCTTTCTCCTCGACATCTCCCATATTAATTTGAAATTTTCTGGGTCTGCAGTTCCCGATAACTGAGTGCAGTGGGCATATGCGTTGGTGCATCCATTGGATACTACCTTTGCTGCTCAGCTACCAGTACGGCAACTTCGACTATCAGACGTCGACGTCGCAGGCAAAGAGCGACTGTCAGGCGGCAATTTTGGCTCCATCAAAAAGGATTCATCAAGCTCAGACCTGTGACCATCAACAAGTACATCCAGGTTTTGGCTTCACATCATTCAGCAGATCAGCTATATATTCAACGACTTCAAAGGCGCCTTTGCCAAACACCTGCAACCATGGCAGAATGGAGATGCAGACGATGTTGGAAGGTGGCAAGTGGTCGTCATGTACACTGTCCTCACTGTGGAGGAAGATGGGATCGTGTGCAAGATCTGACATTCACTCCGCAGGAGAGGCAGTCAAAGTCACCAAGAGCAAGCAGAACAGTGCATGCATCTGGATGGGACTGGCAAGACGAGGGAGGTGCTGCCAGTGCCAGAGGACGCAGTGCCTCTGCCAAAAGCCGTACTCAGCCGAGGCGCAAACAAAAGAAGAAGAAGTCAGCTTCCGAAACTGTACCATACTATGCAACGCCTGCCATGCATACGCCATGGAAACCAGAGGAGGAAATGGTGAAGGAGCACGACGATGCTTCTACGATGGCCGCAGCCAGTGCAGAAATGGTGCGAGAATTTCGAGAAGCCTATCCAAACCCAGCGACAATGCCACCGGATGTGCGCCGTATTGTGGAGAAGTACGATGCCCAGACCGGTACTGGCAGCAGAAACCATGGGCCCTTAGACCTTTCAAGAAGCATGCTGAACGAGAACAACATTTCCACACCACCATGGCTCCTATGACACTTCATGGAACCATGATCGGATTTACCAACAAGATATTCCTGGTGGTTTTGGTCATCAGCATCCACTTGAAGAACAACCTGAATACATTCAGGACATGGCCAATGCACTCCAGGAAAGAGGCACAATTGAACATCAAGCAGAAGGACGTATCTTTTATGTCATGACCTGGTTCCTGGATGGGCAGCGATACAGAGTGTGCCATCGACCAAGAATTGTGCGTCTTGGCACCAACTTCCTGCAATGGTCTGACAGCATTCGAAATGAATGGATCGATAGACTTCAAGCTGGAATTGAGACATACTGCCAAGTCGTGAAACCAAATCCGCCAGCATCACCTGGGGAGCAACACATTGCCCACGTGATTCTATACCAAGCACCACAACCACAGGACAGACAAGGATTAGTTTCTGCGGTCTACACAAATGGACATGATGTCTTCATACATCGAACTGCGCATTGCCTTCCCCTACACATGTGCCAGCAGATCTTCAATCACCGTATTGAGGCTGTATATAGAGGACAACATGTCAGAAATCAGCCCTATCGACCCACTGCCTTGGAAGATGGTGCGTCTATCGTTTGTATGTGCTTGAGCCTCGACCAACAAACACTGGAGCTGAAAACCGTGCTTCTGCAGATTCACAACGCGCTCTTCGAAGGACCATCAGTCGCAGTCGATCTCCACGGCGAGGAACTGGTGATGAACAATCCTTCCTGGCGCATCAACCTCAGATTGTGCGGGATCCTGAACCGAGTCTGACTGATGTTCCTGAAGTTGCCCTACAAGAAGACAACTTTGAAGCAGTCAATGTGAACAGGACAGTCAAGAGCTAGAGGATGACTTTGACATGGCGACACCTGGTTCTTCAGGAGCCTCATATGACAGTGAAGTTCAATCGCACTTCATGCACATCTTTCAGCTCAACCAACCAGTTGTGCAAAAGAGAATATGCACTGACACATGGGCACAGATGCATAGTAGCAACATACGACATGAACTTGGACTTTCTCGGCATGATGTTCAACACATTCATTCTGTCCATCATCGACCACTAGATCTGCGAGCAGCCAACTGAGCATCAAGCTGATGAAACAAGCACCCATCGATATGCAAAAGCTCTTCGAGGAGAGATCACACGTCGACTTATCCTGGAAGAGCTCCGCCTTCAAGCATTCTGCAGGAAGGCGAGAAACAAATGCATCGTTAGACTCAACGAACAACTCCTGGGTGTGAATCAGCATGCGCCCATCACACTACAACATGGAGATTATATCAGAATTGATTTGTCTCCTTTGCCTAGAGCTTCGGTGCCGACAAGGGTCATAGCCCGATGCTTACGTGATGGGATACCCTATCGCTCCATTCGGCGAGTCTATGAAGAAGCCGACACAGATTTTGAATGGGAAACAGTGCCGCAGGCTGATGACACTACAGCGATGCTGCAGCTGTACAACAGCATTGGCACTGCAAGGCGCCTAACAGCTGGTGCGGTGGCTCAAGCCCAGCGGCCTTGCATCCAACTTTGCCTTGACAAAAGCATCCCTAGACCACCTGAGGTCTTAGTGGATTTTTCGACTGTCATCTGGGCACGTGAAGCCCTTCATCATATTCACCTTGGATTGATGGAACAACTCCCAGCTGACCTCGATCTACCAGATGAGACCATATGGGCTTTACAGGGTTTGCAACAAAGCACTATGCAACCGGTCTTGAAGGTCTCGTTCTACGTTGATGGTTCCAAAGTTGCCCAAGGCTCTGTTGGTGCTGGCATTGTATGCATCTGCGAGACCCACGATTCCAGATTCCTTGCTGGATGCATGTCCAAACGAGTAGACAAAGCTCGACATGCATTTGAGGGCGAGC